ACAAGGTTAAAATGTGTCATCTAATATAAAATGAAGGAAGTACCATCTATGTTGCACGGATACTGACACGGACACGGGAAAACGGCAATCCTGAAATAGGGGACACGGGTACGGCATATAACAAGGCATATAATATATCAAAAAAACGAGAATTTGACAACCTATTCAATAAAACACTAAATAATTAGCCTCAAAACACACAATTTTGTTAAAACAAGTAAATAAACAAAGTGTACGAACGTAGTCTCATACATATCAAGAAACCATCAAACCAAATACATGTCTTAATAATAGTTTTACAAATCATAAATAAAATAAACAAAAGTACTAATAGTTTCATTCTTCACCATCACCAAGTACATCATCAAAAATCATATTCTCCATCTCGGGTTCATCAAGTGAGAGCTCGGCCATCTCTAGAATACCAACCTCTCCTAGGTTGTCATGCTCATCTCCACCCACATCCCACAACTTAGATCTCCCCTTAGTGTATTCTTCACTTCTCCTAGAAAGTAATCGAAGGTTGTTATGAATGTATACCAAGTCTTGAGCACGTTTAGGAGTAAGCTTATTTCTAGTGCAAGAATGAATAAACTTATAGGTGCTCCAATTCCTTTCACTACAAGAAGAGGAAGAAGGTTAACCTAATAGCTTATAAGCCAAACCTTGAAGCATAGGCACTTGGGAACCATAAGTTGCCCACCAATTTTTTATAATCCTCGGATTCACGATGAAGCGATCTTAGTTTAGCAAGGTCATCAATTTTCACTTTATTACAAGTTTGAATCCCTTTCCCTTGTTCACCTAGCAAATGAGCTTTCACTCTAGTGTATGAACCATTTTTAACTTCGCCGCAAAAGTTACATTTCCAATTATAATTTCCTCCACCACCCGATATTTTATCACCCTTAACAACAAACTTCCACAAAGGGTAGAGGTCTTTCATTGACTCAGATGAATTACTACTACCACTGACATTGCATGAAGCAGAGGAACTAGAAGACATTCCTGACAATTTCAGCAACACAACAGCACATTTCAGCAAGACAACACAGCAAAGTGAACAACACAACAGTACAATTTCAGCAACCAGCAAGTCAGCAATACAATTTCAGCAACCAGCAAGTCAGCAATATAATTTCAGCAACCAGCAAGTCAGCGAGTCAACAATACAATACAATTTCAGCAACCAGGGCACAATACAATTTGACAGCTGAACCCATCTCACAATTAACATCACAATTAACAATTAACATCACATTTAACAATTAACAATTGCGAATTACAGTGATACTGCCTCCACGGCTCCACCTCACAATTAACATCAGCATTCAGCAATTGAATTTCAGAAAACAAAGTACAGAAGACAGAAGTCACATAACCCTTACCTGGTGGTGGACTGGTGGCTGGCGAGTGGCGACGGACGGTACTGGGTGGTGGACTGGTGGCTGAGGACGAACAACGACAGCCTGAAACCTAGGTTGAGCGAGTTAGCGACTGAATTAATTGAATTTAAAAAAAAACAAAGTACAGAAGCCAGTCAAGCCACGGCCTGAAACCTAGGTTGAGCGAGTTACCTGGTGGTGGTCTGGTGGACTGGTGGCTGGCGACACTGGGGTGGTGGCTGAGGACGAACAACGAGCGGCGAGTGAAGTCTGTGTCTCTGTGAGAGTAGGCTGTAGGCGACGAAGCGACGGTGAACTGAGTGACGGTCTGGACCAGCAGCAGCAGGTGAAGCGACGACGGTTATCGGCGCGACGGTGAGTGGCTGACGGTCTGGGACTCAGGGAGCTTGAGTAAGGCAGTAGGTTTGTGAATTGTGAATGGAGGAATTGAGAATGTGAGAGAGTCAGAGAGAATGGAGGAAGTTGGGCTTGTAAAGCCGTAATTGCGTGTCCATCACAAAACGGACCGTGTCTGGGTGAGACACGGCCCGTGTCCGTACAGAAGAAATTCAAAAAAAAACGGACACGGATTTTCGCGTGTCCAAGACGTATCCCCCCTTGTCCCACGCGTGTCCGTGTCCGACACGCGTGTCGACTCGGACACGCCACTTGGCAGGCGTGTCCGTGCATCATAGAGTACCATACAAGATTATAGAAAATTTCCTCTAGACTATGATTTATAACAACTAACTTTATATTTCTTATATTTATGTCCTAATTTATCTAGAAAAAAGATACTTTTTTATTTTTTTTTTACTATATATTAACAAAAGGGTCGATATATTAATGAGTCAGAGTGGAATAGCTATAAGATACTTCGTACAACATTAGTCTGCAACTCTCTTGTATTTTTTTCATATATTCTTAGGGATATAGTATCTCCATTAATTTTGTCTTTGAATTTTTTAATTCATTTCAACTACTCACTTTTCCTTTGTACACATGAACAATATAATGCACTATAGAATATTTAAGAAGATTTTCTCTAGTCAATGACTTATAATAGTATAAGCACAATACAATTAATACATAGTACATAAAAAGATTTTAATTACCTATACTTAATTAGTATGGTACCCACTTTTTAAAAATAAAATAAAATTAGTATGGTACACAACTACCCATGCATAACATTTCACATTCAAAGAAGTCATAGATTAGAGAAAGTCTCCTTCAATCATCTATAGGAATGGCAATGGATCCGTACCCGATCTGGATCCGTGAATCCATATTCGTTTTTCACGAATATGGATCTTAAAATTTTGGCATCAACGGATCCGGATCTTGAGCTATAAAACGGATTTGGATACGGGTCTAACTAAAATACTTGTATCCAGATCCGTTTACTCGGTTCTTTTTTTTTAAAAAAAAAAATTTATTTTAAAACTTAAGCTTTTTTCCACAATATGTTACATCATTGTTCATACTATTTCCCTTAATGTTTTTTTATCTTACTGACTCACAGTTTGCATGATTTGTTTTTGTTTTTGTGTTTGTTTGTTTGTTTTTTTTTTTAGCTTGTCATTTTAATATGTAACTTAATAACTTAATCTTAGTATAATTATTTACAATAATTTGCGGTTTGTTGCTATTTAACTTAGTTTGTTATATTTTTTTTTTTAAAAAGCACTTAGTTTGTTATTTAAAATAGATGAAATGGGCAAAATCCATTTAGGATCCGTTTTGGACTCGGTTCCGTAGGATCCAACAGATATGAATATAGATCTCCCATTTTCATACCCAACGGATCCGGATCGGATCTGAATACTAGGTACAAAAACGAATCTGGATCTGAATCCATCGGATCCGGTCCAGATCCGACCCATTGCCAGCCCTAATCATCAATGTAGTAGAGTGTAGGTTTATCTACTTTATCTTGTCAATGAAAGTCGACATCAAGAGAGCTCATCTATAAAAAGGAAACTAAAAATCAATGGTATTAAGTACGAGAGAGAAGAAAGAATATCACGATATATTTTGTTATGATTTTTTTAAATTTTATGGCATGCAATTCAAACTTAAATTATTGCTTGATTGGTTTTAGAATTGTAATTGAGATGGGATTTTGAATCTTCTAACTGAGGGAGTATGATGAGTTGAGTCGTGATTGAGCTTAGGGAGGTTTGTGCTAGGCTAGTAATTTGAACAAATATATATCCACATCAATTATTATACTCCGTAATTCCGTATTAGCTAGGTTGAGTACTTGAGTCTACACCTTTGATAAGTTTTATTTCATTTATGAACTCGGATTAGTTGAGCTCTTTAATTGGAATCTTAAACTAATTAAGACTATGCGATTATATACTCAAAAATTACAACTATATACACGTAGTTGTCATATTTTATATACAAAGTACGAAAAATGTACTTTCTTTATCCCAATCTTTTGTGTCCCTTTATGTAATTATAAATTATAATTTAATAAAAAAGTAGTTGTGATGGAATATTGTGGAATATATATATTTTTTAGTTAATTAAAACAAAGTGTGAGATCAAACATTCAAACCTTATCTGTTAATACTGAGGCCCTGTTCTTTTGAGTTTCTAGGCAGATCGAGCAGAGTAGGGGTCAGCAAAGCAAAGCAGATTTCAGCATTATTATTATTATTATTATTTTATTATTGTTATTATTATTATTTATTTTAATTATTATTATTATTATTATTATTTTATATTAATTATTATTATTATTATTATTATTATTATTATTATTTTATATTAATTATTATTATTATTTTTATTATTATTTTATATTTTATTTTTATTATTATTATTTTATATTAGTTATTATTATTATTAAATATTAATTATAAATAATAATAATAATTATTATTATTATTATTTTGATATTATTAAATATTTATTTTAAATATATTATTAATTATTATTTTTAATCCAGAGCAGAGTAGAGTAGAGCAGATTTCAGCAGAGCAGAGTAGGGCTCAGCAGTGCAGAGCAGCTCTAAAAAACAGGGCAACTTTAAAGAACAGGGCCTGAGAAGTGAAAAAAAAAACTTATCTTTGTCAAATATAAAACGATGCACATTAGTAATTGTCTAATTCAGTTACTAATTGCAATTATTTGACTATTTGTACTATTTATTAACTAATTCAGACACAAGTTTTAAGAAGAGGAGAGAGATAAATAGAGAAATAAAGATAAGGACCTATGTGATGAGGATAAAGAAAGAAAACATATGCAACTAGGAAATATTTGTGAAACTTCCTAAAATGATAACGGTTGTAATATTTATGAAATGGAAAAAATACCAGTAAAAAAAACAAATGTTGTCATGTAATGATATAATACTCTGTATGTTTTTGAAAGTCTTAATGAATTTCATCATTATATCAACTTGTTATACCTTTTGTCAATATTCAGTATATTATTGCAAACAATAATGATTAAAGTAAATGTATTGGTAGCTTGATAGTTGACACATATACCATTCAAATTACGGATGTCAATTCGGATGTACGAATCGAGTTCAGTGAGATCGGATTGGTCGGGATAATTTTTAAACTTGAGTCATACTAATATAAAACGGAGGAAATAATTTATGAAAAAGATATGGAAATTGTAATGGGCACATTAAATAAAACGGAAAGAGTACATCCGATCCAATCATTTCAATTTTTCAATTGTATAAAAGTTTGTTAATTTATTTTTTTAACTGGTGGGCAAAATTCGTCAACAAAAGAGGTAGGCAAATTTGTCAACAAAAAACGAAATCACCAACACATTCTCGTTTCAGTTGCGTTGTCTACTCCACCATCCTCCATCTCTGACTCTCTACTCATTTCTTCCCTTTTTTTTTTTTTTTTTTTCTCTCTCCTCTTCTCTTCTTTCTGTTGCTCACCTTCTTGCATCTTGCAAAGTAGCAAGATTAGAGTGACAAAAAAATAAATAAAAAATAAATAAAATTACCCATTTCATTTTGTCAACGCCGCCCACTTCTCCACTCATAAGCTATCTTTTCCCAAAATTTTGGAAAAAATAAATAAAAGAAAATTATAGAGCAATAATGGTAGTAGCAGGAACAACAAACGACGTCGTTCCAGTTGATTCCGGCCATGCTCGACTCAATGAGCTTGGTTACAAACAAGAACTCAAGCGTGATCTCTCGTAATTTCAATTAGTATTGCACTTTTTATATGAAATTATATTGCATTTTATTTGATGGGTTCAAATTAATTTGATTTGAAGTAATTAAATGTTTGCAGGGTGGTGTCGAATTTTGCAATCTCGTTCTCAATAATATCGATATTAACCGGAGTTACGACGTTGTATAATAATGGGTTGCAGTTCGGAGGACCGGCAGTGATGGTGTATGGATGGTTTATAGCGGGGTTGTTTACGATGTTTGTGGGCTTATCGATGGCGGAGATTTGTTCGTCTTATCCTACTTCTGGGGGGCTGTATTATTGGAGTGCTAAGCTTGCTGGTCCTTCTTGGGCTCCCTTTGCTTCTTGGCTCACCGGCTGGTAATTCTTCGTATTATTCCGTAATAAACTATTAGAGCAAGCTATTTATAGTTGTCTATTTGTAGGGTTGTCGAGTTCATAACGGATGTAATTGTATTTTTTTTTTTAAAGATGGTTGGTGGGTGGGTAGGGGAGTAAATATAAACAAAAGTAACTTTTGAAAGAAATTCTCATATTTTTATAGGTTATATTGGTATTTATTGTTGTTATTTTATTTCGGCAAGTATTAATTGATGGAAATCATTGGAATTAATTGTATCATGGTCCATCCCATGCTCTTATCCGGTCATTAAAGCTGATGAGGTGGTCTTGTAGATGTCAATTAACTTAATTGGTTAAGTTTCGGGTAGAAACTTGAGATTGCATTTAGACATTACCCTTTTTGGCTATGTTATGCCTAATTGTCTATATGTGATTTTGTGGTACTCTTTTTGTCCAAAAAGATTGTCAAATACTAATGTCAATGATTTAAATAAGGGATATTCTCAACGGCGACCCCCAACAATTACTACGTACCAACGGTAACCTTCCGTTTTTTCAACTATACAAAATGACCTTAATTAAAATTTTTATCTTACTCATAACCTTATTTCATTAAATATATTAACTATGGTTAGATTTATATTTAAACAAAAAAAGAAAAATTAAAAAAATTAACCTAACCACCAACCTTCCACCTTCCTTTCTCTTTCCTCCATCCTTGCTCCTCCTCCATAATTTCCAGCAGCCCCTCCACCACCATAATCCGGCAACCCCTCCTCTCCTTCCTTTCTCTTTCCTTCATCCTTCCTCCTTCCTCCCTTTCCTTTCCTTTTCCTCTTCTTCTTCCCTTCACCCTCCATTAATTCCGACCGAAACACTCCCTCCTAAAAACCTCTCCCCTTCCCCGCCTGCCGAAACGTAGTCCCACTATTCCCCCGACCCCGAAAACCGCCGATCAATGAATACAACCTAGGTAAGATTAATTTGGTTAGAATCATTTTGATTAATAATGAAATAAAGTAATTCGATTAAATTAAGTGTAATTTGATTCAAAATGTTGCAATACGATTCAATAATTTGCATTAAAAAATCGATTGAATTATATCACCATGGTAGCAGGGGATGGTCGCAGGAGATTGAATTATATCACCATGGTTGCAGGGGATGGTCGCAGGGGATTGAATTATATCACCATGGTCGCAGGGGATTGAATTAAGTGTAATTGATTGAATTATAATTACCATGGTAGCAGGGGATGGTCGCGGCGGGGTTAAGGAGGAGAGGGAGGGGGCTGGGTTGGACGGAGTAGGGGAGGGGGCTGGCCGGAACGGTGGAAAGGGAGGGGGGCTGGGTTGGACGGAGTAGGGGAGGGGGCTGGCCGGAAAGGTGGAAAGGGAAGGGGGCTGGGTTGGCCGGAATCAATGGGGGATTGGGGGTTGGGATTAATATTTTTAAACTTTTAAAGGGGGCATATTTGTCATTTCGCTATTTTGATTAACCATGATTTAATTATATGTTAAAACACCATCATTAATGTCATCATTAGGAGAAAAAAGATAACTAAGGTTATTTTGTATAGTCCAAAAAAAAGGATGGTTACCGTTGGTGCGTAGCAATTGTTGGAGGTCACCGTTGAGAATATCCCCTTAAATAATGTGGAGTACCAATAAGAGCACGTTTCTTCAATGAGGAATTTTTTGTGTACTATATGTTTATATATGCATAAAAGTTAGCAAAATTATTTTTGGTCAATGTTCAAATAGGGAATGATAGAAGAACTTGAGCAACTTTCTACAAATAGCTATGCTTGCCAAATTTGGCAAAGACTAGTTGTGTAACTCTTTGTCTCTGCCACTTGCATGGTTATGAAAGAGAAAGCTTAAGCATAATCTTTATTTCTTTGAGGAAGTCCTTTCCTCAAAGGCATCTGGACATTATACCTACAAGTGCAGACGTGCAGTAACTCTCAAATGTCAATATACATCACTCTAATGCTCAGTGTCTACGATCATAAGAATCATTTTAACTCCCTTGTGTAGTAGTCTGTAGGGAAGAACGACTAAGTACGGTTTAACAAAATCGCCACAATTACACTTTTAATCTTAATAATGGATGCATTGATTATAAATTTCAGTATACTTATAATGTCCTGGTTATCCCTTCTAATCAATGGTCTGAGAGGAATTAGTTGTTTTATAATGTCCATGACTTATTTCATACTCGCCTTAGATAAGCAGTTTTAGAAGGCAATGAAATCATAGTTTAGTATAGTATGATCAATGCCGTATTTGTATCCTAACTCTACAAAGTTTATCATGATCCTATCTTAAACTTTCAGTTTCATTACTCGGATATGTTTCCCTTGAAAGTAGTAGTTAACTCATTAGGGCTTTTTTTTTTTTTTTTTTTTTTTTTTTTTTTTTTTTTTTGTGTCAATGTTTTAATCGAACGAATTTATATAATTTATTACTCCATATGTATATTTTCATATTTATTACTCCAAAATAAAGAATGAATGTCACCTTTATATCTTGCAGGTTCAACATTGTTGGTCAGGTAATTCTAAGAATGATGCTCTGAATCTCAGATGGCTAAGCTAGAATACTCCATTTGCTATTATAAATTCAACGTTTATGCAGTAAGGCTTTACCTTTGGTTATACCATCTTTCATTGGCAGTGGGCTGTCACAGCTAGTGTGGATTTCTCTCTGGCACAGCTGATTCAAGTTATCATTCTACTAAGCACTGGTGGGAAAAATGGCGGTGGTTATGAGGCATCAAAATATGTTGTAATTGGTTTCCATGGCGGAATTTTACTTTTGCATGCTATCTTGAACAGCCTTCCTATTTCATTGTTATCATTCTTGGGGCAGCTTGCAGCAGCCTGGAATGTTGCAGGTATAATAATCTTCTCCTTTATTGTCAGTGATTATTTCGAAATGTTTTAGAATGTAGAATCCCCTATATTGGAGCATCAAATATGTACATAATCAATATTGTTGTTCTTCTAGGTGTCGTTGTCCTTATGATTGCCATTCCCCTGGCTGCCAAGGAAAAAGCCAGTGCTGAGTTTGTTTTTACGCATTTCAACACTGATAATGGAAATGGTATCAGCAGTAGACCTTATATCTTCCTTATTGGACTCCTGATGAGTCAATATACGCTAACAGGTTATGATGCATCTGCACATATGGTAAGGATTATGTCCTTCCTTATTATAAGAGATAATTTTCCCTAAGAAACTGAAATCAAGTATCATAGTCTTATGATCATATAACCTGCTTTTGTCTTTTGTTATAGTTACCATATTCACTGCCAATTAATAATCCAAAGACAGATAATTCTATTTTGTTATGCTTGTTGCAACAAGAAGAAAGTACAATAACATGGATTACTTACAGTATAGATCACAATAGTTTGAAATCCAGACAATTTGTTCTATGCTGGCCTTTTCTTTCAACTTTAGAAAAGGATGTAGAAGTCAATATGGACACTTATTACATAAACATGCATCATGTGTATTGTCTACTTCCAACAATTTTCTCCTTATGCCAAATGGAAAAGAGACATCATCTCTGCTTACATTAACTTAGTTCAACTTGAATGGCAGACAGAGGAAACTAAGGATGCAGATACAAATGGACCTAAAGGAATTATTAGTGCCATTGGTATATCAATAATCTTTGGTTGGGCTTACATCATCGGGATCACCTTTGCAGTCACTGATATTCCTTACCTTTTAAGTAGCGAAAACGATGCTGGTGGTTATGCCATAGCTCAAGTATTTTACCAAGCATTCAAAAGCAGATATGGAAATGGAATTGGAGGAATAATTTGCCTGTGCATAGTTGCTGTGGCCATATTTTTCTGTGGCATGAGTTCAGTTACCAGCAATTCTAGGTATACACTCTTCTTGATCATGAAAATTCTCTCTTCTGTTTTAATTAACCTGGAGAGGTACAAAATCTCATAAAATCTAATATTTCTACCCAGAATGGCTTATGCATTCTCAAGAGATGGTGCCATGCCTTTTTCATCAGTATGGCATAAAGTAAACCAACAAGAAGTTCCTATCAATGCGGTGTGGATGTCTACTTTCATCTCCTTCTGCATGGCATTGACGGTATGCACTGAAAAATGTCCATGAATCTTTTCAGTTAAAGTGCACAGTAATAATATCATGCTGAAATACTTTCTCTGACTAGAAAATATGCGTATTATGTGCTCCTACTTATGCATTGACATGTTATGGACTTGAGGTAATATCTTAATAATATAAAAGTCACTTAGTTTGTGCATTGTGATAATATCTCAACTATTTTAATGTTACTTTGTTTGTGCACTATGCATTAAGGGAGGAACTGTCTTGAATGGCACAATGATTGTACACTTGCAATACCACTTCAGTCCAAAAAGAGGCTGTGAGAAATGAAATTAACAAATAATTCAGTGCTTATTTTAAAAGTCTAAAAGATTCACCAGAAGGTTGTTTCCTTTTAAAAGAACATGATCTCAATGAATTCATACACTCTAAAGGATATTGATGAACTTCCTTGCTCTATCCTTCTCTTCTGGAAATAAATAAGCCAGTCACTCATTCCTCAGCCAAGAGCTTGCTAGGCATGTCACTCTGCACACTTAAGCTGCTGCCAAACTGTTGTACTAGCTAATGGACAATATCAAAATTGATGATTGCATCTGAACCTATAAGGACAGAATTCCAGCCTTTCAAATCTTCAAAAGTAGGAATTCCTTTATTAACAACTTTCCAAACAAAAAGCTTCCAACTTGAATTTTTTCGAATTCTGATAGCCTCATCCTAGGATTAGTTTTTATCAGGATAATTCTGCAGATCGAAAAAAGCATTCTCCCAATCATACTGATTACAGAATAAGCACCTATATATCCTATCTCTTAGGTATGCCATTATAGCATTTGCAGTAGTAAAATTAATGTTACCTTTTCAACTTTTCATTGTCTAGTTTCAGCACAAATGTAACCTGCAGCCATTATTGGAGCTTGAAATCTCTCTATGGTACTGTTGGACTTCAAGTTTAACTTGGCCCTATGCAGCCATCTTTTACTTGAGTATCATAATCTCCTTCCATTTAATATCATTACTTTGGACAAATCAGCAATAAAGTCTTGTCAAATTGCCTGTGGGATTGTGAAGAAACAAGTAACAATCATATTAGTTTTATGTAGAAAATGAAACTAAACAGATTGGTTGACTAGTAATTGGAATCGTATATATTTATCACTGGCAGGAAGAATAATTTAGGTTAATGCTATCTTGGTTGCGATGAATCACATGTTATATCAATGCTTTTTTTACTGCCACTCAAAATTCTTCAAACAGATTGAGAGTTTGATATAACTGGTGGTCTGGTGATTGGAATTATAAATTTATTACTGACAGGAAGAATAATTTAGGCTAATGCTGTCGTGGTTGCGATGACTCACATGTTATATCAATGTTTTTTACTGCCGCTCAATATTATTCAAACAGAATCTGCGTTTGATTACAGCTATATGATGGGAGGGTTAGGGTAATATGCACCCTATTTATAGGGTTAAAAATGAAGTTCTTTTACTCCCAAAAGGGAAGGGCTGGGATGGTGAAGGGTTACATAAAGTGGAATGGTTGAACAAAGCAGCTTTAACCAAACAGGCTAGTTCAAATATACATATCAAAAGAGAAAATTCCTACACCTTCACTTTTACCTGGTATACAGAGAGAGGGGAATCTGGGGATCATCCTGTTGCAACCCGCATTTTGGTCAAAAGGGAAACTCAATATCTCCATGAATTTTCAACTGATTCTGTTATATGCCTTAAAGTTGATTTTAAGTGCAGCACACCCCCCCCCCCTCTCTACCCAGCTCCTTCCGATCACTGAAGTATCTATGAGCTATTAGATAATCATTCCTAGAAAATGTGATGCACAAAAGCATGTTGATAAACGGCTCTACTAGGGCTTACCTACATCCATCACCAATTGTATGAACCCTATTCCGCCTCATTCAAGTCTTCGTCTTCAGAAAAAGCAACCTGGCACAGCTTTCCTCTTCCTCATTTCACTATATTTTTGCACATTGCCTTTAAGATTCCTACTGCACTTCACCCTATTGAAGCCACTGCTTTCAATTTGCTGTTCATACTTCATATCCACAGTGAAAGTTATCCATGTCAGCACTTACACCTTTTGCAGTATTGCATCATTATATAAGATTTAGTTGAATTTTCCTTTTTTTGGCTACAGTTTAATTAAATATGCTTTTACAGGAGTATAAACTTATTAACTAGTTGGATGACTTGTAAAGTGCTTATGCTGCATCCTAGATTCCTAGTCCTTTTCCAAATGTATCAGTTTATGTAGGATTAGCCATGGCTTGTACATTCATGCAAATATGATAAGTATATTGTGTTTATGTTAAGGATTCAACTTGTTCTATGGTATGCTCATTGTTGTTTATCTGCTTCTGGCATTAGACAATAATTTTAATAGCAAAAGAAACCATTGCACTTGACTTTTAACTATTGCAGTACACCCCAGTATTCATTAACTTATTAATTGTTTGGTCTTTTTCTTTTTGTTTTGTCTTCTCCTCTGGCAGTCTCTTGGAAGCCTGGTGGCATTTGAAGCGATGGTATCAATAGCAACTATTGGGCTGTATATAGCTTACGCCTTGCCTATCTTCTTCAGAGTCACCTTGGCTCGCAATTCTTTCATCCCTGGACCTTTCAATTTGGGACGATATGGGATACTTGTTGGATGGATTGCTGTACTCTGGGTAATCACCATTTCTGTTTTGTTCTCCTTGCCTGTTGCCTTTCCCATTGATACAGAGAACCTCAATTATACACCCGTGGCTGTGGGTGGTTTGTTGATCCTCACAGTTTCTTCATGGATTTTACGAGCAAGGCATTGGTTTACAGGTCCTGTTACAAATATACGTAATTAATTCATGAATTGTGCATGCTCCTCTTTGTAATATGAATGACAACACACGTCTGATCAATTTCTAGCAGGTTCATACCTTTCTATGATAGTTTGATATTACCTCATTTACAATTTCTCTTATGTCTTTTCGCATCATCTTTCATTGAAAGGCCATTAGATTGGTTATATTACTGTTCAACATCCTATATGTGAAAGCAGAAGATAACGTTGTATGATATACTGTAAATCTATTTTTAGGTGACTAGTTTTTATTTGATTGGTCTGGAGACGGATATTATTTTGTAAAACAATTTGCAGCACAATATAATGAAGTATATGCATCGTCGAGCTTGAGAACAAGCACAGGATTCATAAGCACCAAATACAGTAAATAAACTGTTCTAATTGTCTCAATAACAAGTCAAGATTGTGGTGCACATTTCTGAAAGTGCAAAATAAAGTTTAACAACCAAAACAAATAAAGAAAAAGGCCAACTATTTTTTTAAGCATGTATCATCAAGGTTTATATAAGTTCCATCCCGATGAAGTATCTTCCACTTCACGCATCATTGCCAGTGTTGAAGCCCAAGCTCGTGAAATCACTGCTTGGATCATTGTTTATCTGTAAACACCCAACAATAGCAACTGGTAAGTTAAATAAACGAATAAACCACCAAAAATTATGTTACAGCTTTTATAGATTTTTTATTATATAAGCAATGAGAAGTTTAAATAAGATGTTTAACCTCGGCTAAAAATGCTTCAAAGATATTGTCTTCATCAGTAAGCTGATGTGTGCGGCTTGGGTCTGCAGTATTCGGGATCTCTTGAGTATAACCTGTAGGATATTCCCAACTAAATCATTTGTAGGTTGTATAGCCTGGTTTTCTAAACCATAAGAAGGCAAAAGGCTGTTGTTATTACAGTTAAAATTGAGAACATCTGGAGTCTGAAGTAATCCTGTTGTTTCAACCTGTAAGTTGTGTAAGTTGCTAGGATTCTGCACAAAACATTCAACATAATTCTTCGATGATGCATTTTAAAATTGGTTAAGGTATGGTGCGCATGAACTTAGTAAAGGAGAAGACCCCGGATTAATAATGCTTGATCCATTATATCCAAAAATTCGGAATAGCATTATTCCCTGAACATTAGCTTGTCTGCTCACCAACTCGCCTGTACTTGTGAAAGCTCCATTGCTAAATTTTTCAGACTGAAAGGCATTTCTATTGTAGCTTGATGGTGAAAGCGCAACTGTTTCAGTCTGTAAGTTTGGTATGGAACTTGTATTCTCTGTTTCAGATCCAAATTTATATCTGTTATGTACTCTTACAATTTAAAACACATATATATGCTGAAATATGTAAACATACCTGTGCCAGTATTAGTCAAATATGCTTGTCGATTTTGATCAATCCTTCCTCTAAGAAGCGATTGATTGCCAGTGGTCTCATTAACTGCCAATTGGTTACTGGTGTTGAATAAATGTGAAGTTTTGTTCATAGAGCTTGTTCCATTCAGTATTCCAATCTGGCTGACATTATCCCAAGGTTAAGTCTAGCAGTGCCAGAGTTGTTGTCCAATTCCAGAGCCGCTTAAAACTCTAGGACTCGGTAGACTTAAACCATGATTTTGAAGAAAACGATAGCCCTGTCTTATAGCAGCAGCATTGCTGAGTACATTTTTTGGTTGTTGCCTTGGAGTAGCTCCTGACCTTTGAGCATTGGTTATAGCATAACTTGCATCTGGGAGAGCTTGTATTGTGTCAGAAGCACTTGTTGGAGTTGCTAAATTGGTAGAATTTGAAAGTCCTTGAACTTGTATTTTATCAGAAGCGCTTGTTGGAGTTGCTAAATTGGTAGAATTCGAAAGACCCTGAGCTTGTATTGTATCAGAAGCACTTGTTGGAGTTGCTGCCATATTGGTAGAACGATGATCACCACGTTCTTTGTTTTTCTGAGGGAGGTAGTAACAACAGCTTAACTACTGTACACTTCATCATGTGCTATAATATTGGCCGATTCATTGATACTTGAAAGAGACAACTCTAAGGGATTGACTACTGCAAATTTTAGTATGTGAATAATATTTCAATTGCCTTAGTTAAGGAGCATTCATGATTGATTGCAGATACAACAGTTCCAAAATCAAAGACTAACTATGTTGTGTTTCCTTATAGTATTTGACTTCATGTATGACTTGCAGGAGCTCAACTGCATAACTAAATTAAAAAGAAAAGTAGATAAAATGAATGAGCAAAAAATAAAACAAAAGAAGCTGGCTTGTTACCTGAGCTAAAGCAGCTAAATACGCAATTTCAGGCCCTGGTTGTGCTGGAATAATCGCTTTTAAAAAAAAAACTAAGAGTTAGGATATTGTCTATATTATGTGAATGTAAGGCTTTATGAGGAAAATTCAATAGATAACACGTATTTTGGTGTGTTACCTTCTTCATTGCTCTTCATAAGTGCTTTCATAAACTTAGCATGAATCCCAGTATTCCACCTGATAATTTTCTTGTACTGTATTCTACCTGTCGAGGTTTCTGTATCGCTGTTCAATGTTTTCTCATTACCATACTGCACTCTTTTTCTCTTCTGGTTGTTCTGGTTGTTCTCTGTATGCCTGCTAGCTCCAACTACAACTGCTAAATTACTCGAAGGAGACTCAGTCGCGATCTCTTTGCCTTTTCCTGCAGAGATGCCTGTTAGTTGCTCATTCTGAGGTAACTCTTTTCCTGTTTTCTGATATCAGTATGAGTCTTGTTTCTATCTTTTCTGAACACATATTGCCAGAAATACTGAGCATCCTCCCGCTTTATAGGTTTAGTGCAAAGCTCGCAAGCTCCTCGTTCAATAGCTTCGAAAGCCAATGGATCATGCTTTTTATAGGTGGTCAGCTGGTCACTACAAACAATGGAATATTAAAATGAAATTCATTGCAACACACATTTCTAATGATGTTATGAATTGATTGAACTAAAACTGTAGAAAGTCTGTTGAAACTCACAGACAACAGGGTGGTCTGAAACCATTTTCGCAATTTTAAGGAATGTAAAGCCGTCCATTTCTAGCATGTCCATTGCAGCAATGACTAAGTCGAACTTATTTGCTCGTTCTTGCATCATTTTAAGTGCTACACTTGGGAATTCAGCACTTGTAACTACAAAAAAGAAACATGAACAATTAGCTTGAAATTTGGAATATCTCTAATACTAACTCCGTTTATTTCACTTGCATTTTACATGGTCTACAATGCACACCATTTATTAACCATTAATATATTTAATTGTACAATAGTAAAACAAAAAATTATATTACCTCCTATTTCGGGTAAAACAATAGGACCTTCAGCAAGGTCCTTTTCTGTGAGCTGAAGTTTGATCTCGGTCCAAGTGATAACTAGGCCGAGGGTTTCTTGCACATCAAACACACGTAAACTGGCTTCGGGGGTTGTGCCGAGGAAGGCCCCTCCGATGCCGAAGTCAATACAGTGTTTAGAGAGAGAAAGCTATGCAAGAGTATTAATGGCTTGGGACTTGAATTGAATGAATGTAGAGAGAAGAGATTGAAGGCTTTTATACCTTTGCTCAATAAATAAATGGACCTTGAATCAAGTGGGCTTGCCACGTGGCTGGGCCTTGACTGACTTGACAATTGTTTGGAGAGTCGAACCTTGCTTTGGGCTTTGCAATTAAATCATTTATGGACCGGCCCAATTGGAGTAAATTGGACCCAAACAACTTGCCCTCCAGACCCGGTTCGGAAGCATGATGGGCTGGGTTTTGACTTCCAAAATGGAGAAAAGTAAATGGTTTACTTAGAGTTTGAACTTGGGTAGTTATAGAGGCAATAACAGTTATTTAGAGAGTAATTAAGGAAGTGGGAAGGTTTAGTGGGTAGTTAATTAGGGAAGTGTTTAACGGTTGCATCGAAGTGGAGTTAGTGGGAGTTTTAGTGGTGCGGACTCCCAGAATTCTTCTTCCGGAAAGCCTATTTAAGCCACTCATCCCACTCTCTCTCCTCACTTTTTTGCTAATCCTCTTCTGTTCTTCGCTAATCCCCACTGCTAAACCGTTTTTCTTCCGCATATTCTCAGCAATCCGAAACCTAAAACTGAAGTTCGTTGCTCCGAACTCATAAATCGGCGAATTCCACTTCTGATAAAGGTAATTTTCTTCGAAATTTCTTCAGATTTCTTTAATTTAGAGCACCCCCCCTTTTCTCGATTTCTCAAACTTCCACCGAAAAAAATGGCTCGAGACCGAGGAAAAAGACCTATGGTAGTCGACGAGGAAGAGGAAGTTCCTCAGCTGATTCCACGGCGCAATCGTCCGTTGGAGATGATGCCGCCTTTGAGTGGCCGCAACCCCTGTCCCGGGGTTGGGGCAGCAGCTTCTTCTAGCGGGGCCGCGAATCCTGCGGTGCCGTTGCCATTTGTGCCTCCCCGAGATTCGGGGGAGGCTAGCACCTCGGGCCAAGGAGGAGCGCCCGAACCTTGGGATTTTCCCCCTGGAGGAAGGGAATGGGGCAACATCCCCGAGAATTTTGGGTTGATGACCACCACTCCTTATGGTTGGTGGGTGGCCGAGAGTTCCCTCTATCGTTTTGCTGAGCAAATTGAAATCTTTTACGACATAATGGAGGAAGATGGGTATTGGTGTCGAATGCCCACAACCCCAGATAGGATTCACTGTCCTCCCCGATACATCGGGGTGTATACTCGGCAACTGCAGTTTAGGCTTCAGTTCCCTCTGCACTACTTGTTGTTGAAGTACTGAATGGGTACAACATCTCGTTGTGCGAATTAACCCTTGCTAGCATCCGAAGGGTGATGACGTTCCTTTGGGTGTGCCTCTTCTATGGTTTTGCGCCGAGCCTCCATGCTTTCCGGAAACTCCATAAGCTGGTGCTGCACCAACAATCAAACGAACATCGTGGCACTGGCTGGTGGCGAATTGAGACCCATAGCGGGCATCTCACCACTTGGCCGAATGATACTTCGGACAAGGATTGGCGGGGCCAATGGATCTGGGTTCGGGGTGTCCTCGGAGGAGGACCATCCGAACTACTTTGGGGGGTCGAGGTATCTAAGCGAGCCTGATCCCCAGATGAAGGAGCTGCTGACTCTCTTCGGCAAGAAGAGGAACCCAAGGGGCACGGGCCGAATGGCCCAAGTGCCCACAACTTGGCTGCCCTGCTACCATTATATCTTCTAGGAGAAGATGCTTGGCGTTATTGGCCTCAGCCGAAAATACCAAGGGGGTAAGGAGTTCGGTTGGGGCCGAAGGCCTTTGCTTTCCTCTTTTTTCTTTTTTCTATTTGCTTTCTTCGTACTGACTAACCCTTGAATTTTGGCTTTTTAGTGCTGCACGAGGCTCCGGTATTAACTGTAATCAGCTCGGAATCAACGCTGCAAGGAGGGTGACGAAGAACGCCCCCTATATAACCGAGTCCTCAGACCGGCCCCTTTCTTTGCGCAAGACTAAGGTTCAGATAGTCAGCGCTGCTAAATACAAGGCGCAGAAGGTCTGGTGGAAGAAGCGTGACCCCCTTCTTCCTTCCGAGCCCCGCAGAACAGGCCGTTGTTGTTGCTGCTGCTGTGAGGGCGGCAAGGGCTACTGAGGCCTCTAGCAGCGGTGCTGAACCTTCTACCCCTGCTGCTGATCCTCAGGTGGAAGGGGAGAAAGCTGAAGAAGAAGACGGGGCTTCTGAAGACGAGCGCCTGCTGAAGACTTCGGTGAGACTTCCAGACTTGTCTCGATGAGCCTCTGTCTTCTCTCTCTCTCTCCTTTTTTTTTTTACTTGGTGCTCATACTACTCTTTGCCCCCCTATTTCTTCTGCTGCAGTCTGACGAAGAAGGAAATAGAGGAGAGCCAGCTGAAGAAGAATCCACTTCAGACGAATCCTCAAACGAAGAGATGTCTGGCTCAAAGAGAAGAAGGGTCGTTTTAACCCTGAACAATTTCACTACTACATTTTTGATCTATTGCAACCCCTAAATCTGTTGCATTAGGCGTCAAAATCCGTGGCATTAGGCCTAATGCAACGGCCATGTACCGTGGCATCTGCTGGCGTTGCAGTAGGTCTAATGCAACGGCTTATGACACCTAATGCCACGGCACCACTGATCCGTGGCAATAGACCAATACCTGTTGCAACGACATAAGTTATCCGTGGCAATAGAGTACTGACTAATAATTATGATGAAATTGAACCTATTGCAACGACATAACTTATCCGTGGCAATAGAGTACTGACTAATAATTATGATGAAATTGAACCTACTGCAACGGATGAAGCTAATTGATACAATAATGGTAGGAGTACGTATCTACTGCAACGGATTGATCATTGGGTTTTTTATTTTTTTTTTGTTGGGTGAATGGTAATATAATATTAATTAGTCGGTACAAATCTAAATATACTAACATAAACAAATTAAAGTATCATTTATATATAATAATTATAATGCAAAATACGTACATTACAAAATATTACTTGCCTATTTTTGGTATGACATACGTACCGTACTAATAATAAATAAAAGTTAGATAATTAATTTGATCGTCCAAAATACAAATTGTCAACATATATATAAGCCGAAATATCCAAATCTTCACAAAGCCGGAACTTGAATAAGAGTCGCCAACATATATGCACCATTTGTTAGATGGCTAGTCACTATACTTCCGCTCCATTTGACTCCCCATTCACCTACACGTAAAATTGAAAAAAATTAAAGAAATATAATTAAACTAAATTATAAATTATAATAGACCTCTGGGCATCTCTCCGCCTCTTTGCAAAGAAAGAAGATGGGAAGGATGTGGTTGATTCTGTTAAAAAACTCGGTAGCAAGGTCTCTGTCCCTAAGGAAAACATTGAGATATACCCTGACCCTTCTGGTGATCCCACCAAGGTAACTTCATTTCCTAAATTATCGATTAATAAGTTGAAGATAACAAGACCTTAGTTGTTACACTCGACTACTCACTATCTGCATTTTACTTGCTATCAACAATTAGACATTATCAGTCATAAATTGCTCATATAAGGTAGAAAATGACACGATACAATATAATGTAACTTATGGTAGAAGATTGAAGCATGATTTTCTAGTTGTTAATTGAAACTTGACTGTTTGTTTTTCATGTTACAGTTCTTTCAAAAGGATGACTCTTACCAAAGGGATTTGTACCAGATTGCATTATTCCTAGCACTTATTTACTTTGTTGTACAGTACTTGAGGATTTGTAAAATTTACATGCTCGAATCGTTTATACTTTCATACCTTTGTAATTTGTATGTCTTTTTTACAGACCCTGGCATGCTATAAAAAAAGGTGGAGCTGTTTCAAGTATTAAGTTTCTTCAAACATGCGTAATGCAGTAATGCCAGCACAATTTTCAAACTGGTAAGTTTATCATTAGGTCCATTACGCTTTTAATCCAATCTATGCACAGAAAAAACATGAGTTGATTTCATTTTTCAGTCATTTCATATAAAACCAAATGCTAATGCTTAAAATTGCAACAGCAAAGATAATCTATGTTGTGCCCATATGGGAATTGAGTAAAAGTATATACCTAGGTGTATGAAGACTTCAGCCACTTCAGGATGAGACTCGCGGATTCGGTGCCTAATATGTTCACCAGTATGGTGAGCAGCGCTGACACTGGTGAAAGGATCAACCTGCAAGAAATAGAACAAGGCTCCAACTTAAATCCACAATGTTCACTCTTAAGCACCAACTAGGAGACTAATTTTATGCAGACATGCAACAGGATTACTGCAACAAGCTTTGGATAAAAAATGTAATTCAATCTCAGCATACTCATGGATATTACCATAGTCATAACATAAATGTTATGACAAATCATTTTGCTCCACAGGATTCGAAAGCCCAGAAAAGCGAACATCAAAGCAGATATTACACATTAGATCACATTAAGCGAAGATAAGAATGCTTTCGTATAAAAATTTCATACTATGCTGCATAAATGAACCAAAAAACTCTTAGAAATAAATTCTTACTATAAAAACATATTATACTTACAAATAGGGTTGACTTGTTTGTCAACTCTGTTTAAATTATCAAAATTATTAGTAGCTTCCAGAATTCGCCACACCCCCCCAAAAAATATCTGTCAAAGACATTTTGGGCAGTTTTTTTTTTTTTATTTACTGCTTGATCTCAATTGTTATTGCAGAAATATTTGAATCATTGTCAGAACAATGGGGGGCAGTTGATGTTGGTGTCTTAGTCTGTGGTCCTGAAACACTTACATCAACGGTTGCCAAGGAAATAAGATCACACAGCCTAAGCAGGAAGCAAAATCATCCAGTTTTCCACTTCAATAGCCATAGCTTCGAGCTCTAGAGTAATGTAGTTATTATGCCATGTATTTCGTAATTATACTATAGGTTCGGCACTAGTAATAGGAAGCCATAAGTCTGCATGCCCTTCTCCAGAGCTTTGCTTTGGCACAAGCTCTTTCACATATCTCCATTATGTTGTTACTTGTTACAACCGAGCTTAGTAGTGTAATTTTACATTTTTACTTTATTCTGTTTATTGTACAAATGTATGTTATGTGAAGAGGTTGTATGGTACTTTCATTTAGCAATGTATATACAGTAAAACTTCTTATGTACAGGAGTACAGATTGTACACTTCAGCATTTTCATGGGTGCATAGAAGTTCTTCAAATATGGTTGACTTGTTTGATATTGCAAAACGAAATCAGCCAAAAAAAAGAACAAGTCTTACCCCATTAACCAAATCAGCCACCCCAAATCATTATATCTTCTTAATATCCACTTATATGAAATTCCCCCAAAAAACCCCATTAGACTACTCCAATACAATCAATATTCAGTACTTCTAGCTTTAAAAAAAAAAAATTAAATAAATCAATTTTGCTAAACAAAATCCATTAGCCGTTTAATTCTAAGAGTTAATAGAGCAGAAACTTCATCTTCCATGGCATCAAATACAAATTTCCAAACAAAAAAGCAAAAACTTCAAATTTAATTAACCCAAAATGATAATTCTTTGAATACCTTGAAGAGAATTTCGAGCAATCAACTCAAGGAAGGGACATGCAAGATGAAATTGAGGCCGCCTGTGCCGCTATCAGCCACCACCGCCTTCAGCCACCACCGCCGGAGTGCCGCCTTCGTGATTTCTTTGCTTATTTTCCTCTTACAATTTTGGAGTATTTTTTTTCGTGATTTTCGTCTCAAAAATTGAAGTATTTTTGGAGAATTGAAGTTATGAGATCTGAGAAGATGGGGAAAATGGTGAGAAATTGACAATGGGGAAAATGGAGAAAAAGGGGTATTGAAAGGTACTGTATGTACTTCTGTACGTGAGAAATGAGAATAGAGGGAAGCAAATTCTTACACGTGTTTGCAAAATATTTGGTGAAAAAAATAGAGGGAAGAAATGCGACTTCATTCTATATTTTCATGATACAACACATGCCGTTGCAATAGCTCTCATTTATGTTAAAATAGCTAGGCTATTGCAACGGTTCTTTACAGGCGTGGTAATAGCTATACCTCTAAGAACATTAGTGTTAAATCCGTGGCAATAGCCTACTCTATTGCAACGACAATTAGAATACCGTTGCATTAGCCTTTATTAGGCCGTTGCATTTGGTCAAAAATGTAGTAGTGTTTCAACCTGTTCTTGTTCTAACCAAGAAACCTCGGCTTGAGGAGGACAAGCCGGAGGAAAGGAAAGAGAAGACTCCTCCCCCTCATGAGGTTCGTGCCGAGGGAAATATCCTGACGAAGACTCCTACCTCCTCTCCTCAGCACGTGGCCGAACCTTTTATTGATGAGGTTCGGAGGGAAGCTGATGCACTGCTCGTCCACCCTGAGGACGAAGTGCCAATTTTGAGTGAAGACCCCAAGGGTCTTGGTGCTGATGGCCTGAAGGAGGCCGAAGTAGAAGAGAAAGCTAAGGAGGTCAAGAACACTGATATGCCTTCCACTTCGGCTACTGAGTCCTTCAAGACTTTTCAGTCTACAGAGATGGGGTTCGTTTCTACCCCTTTGGTGCCTGTTCCCGACCATGCCAGGAATATCTTCGATTCTAGGCGTAGCTTGGCTGTGGAATATTTCGACAACATTTCTAGCATGTCGGAGCTGGAGAGGGTCAGAGCTTGGACAGTTGGGGCAGCCGCTGGGGCATCAGAGCCACTTGCTAGGGTCCCGACCCCTTTGCCAAAAATCAAAGGCTGCTAATGCAGGTAAACCTTTCGGTACTTAAGCTTTTTCACTTAAGTTTAAACTTCTTCTCTATTTTTTTTTATTTTTTTATTTTTTTTACTTCAGCTGATTATTGCTCCTCAACTCTGCACGTCGTTCATAACCATTTCTTAGCTGTGGAGATGAATGACGAGCTGAAAACCAAGGCAAAAAGGCCGAGGAAGCTGACACTACACGAAAAGAGCAAATTGGCAACGGTTCAAACCCCCCCCCCCCCAAAGGCAACGGTTTTGAACCATTGCATATTTGAGGGTTGCCAAATCCCAAAGTAATTGGCAACGGTTAACCGTTGCCAATTATATTGGCGCCCTTTTTTTTTTTAAAAAATAAAAATATTGGCAACGGTTAACCGTTGCCATTGGCCTTTTTTTTTTTTTTATTTTAAATATTGGCAATGGTTAACCGTTGCCATTGCCCTTTTTTTTTTTTTTAAATATTGGCAACGGTTAACCGTTGCCATTGCCCTTTTTTTTTTTTTTTAATAATTGGCAACGGTTAACCGTTGCCATTGACCTGTATTTTTTTTTTTTTTTGGCGGCAATATTATTAATATTTTAATATTAATATTAATAATAATAATTATAAATATTATATTCAATGGATGATTATTATGCTATAGCCATACAATTTTGCATTATCATTGACACTTCAATCAATCTTCAAATAGATTGTAAGAACAAGTTTTCCCATCCTTATGTTTAGTTAAATATTGGTACAACCTTAGCTTACCCTAAGAACAACCCCAATACTATGAGAACGAGATTAGCACTTATTGACTACATTACAAACTACAAAGTCTTCATCAACTCATATAATACAACGATGATATAAAGATGATTTTGTTTACTGGAAGATTACCAAGGACGGAGAATTCTCAACAAAATCTGCCTATTCGTCTTTGTTTATGCAGTAGCAGCAACAACAAACAGAAACCAGTAGCAGTAAACAGACACCATCAGCAGCACCACAACACAGGCTCAGCCGTTAGAAGCAAAAACCAATAGGACAGCTACAGCAAGGCAGAAAAAACAGGGACAGTAGCAGCAAAACGAACCCAGCAGGCCACCAGCACCACAGCCCCCAGCCATTGAAACAGCAGACCAGTACCTGACTTCACCAATGCAAACACACACCAAACAAAGCCCAATAAGTGCTTACTCTCCAGCCTTCCACCAAAGGTCCACGATTGGTCCTTGTTGATTTGAATTTGGACAAATCGACATTACAGCTACCAACCAAATAGCTCCAATAGTCCCTTACAGATGATGCAATATCAATAACTTCCACCTGCCTCGATGCCAGCTGATCTTTGTTTAGACCGTGTACCTGTAAAATCACAACTACTAGTCAGGAGTGGCCATTGGCCAGTGCAGTCCACAAGTGACTTGGAACAAGATATACATTGCAGATATCACTTTTAGCATAGATGTCCTCTCTCCCTATTTTGAAGCTTGTGTTGATGGTTCATGTTATTTTCTCATTAAGTAGCTCAAGTATGTAATTACGAGTCCATATGAAACTAGAATGCATAGAAAGTCTGCAATAGCAACAAATTCAATAACACCTACATTTTCTGATTTTCCATTATCTGCAACGTGAATCGTATCAATAGTAAGAAGCAGCTTGCTCAAGCTTGAACACTGTATATAATAAGGAACTAGTTAGCTGATGAATCATCAAAGAGAAACGCTTCAGAAATTCAAGATTATGTCAGCAGGACACATACCTTAATCACTAGTGTTCAGGGTCCAGTTGCATATAGACAGAACATTCATATCAGTATATATTATAAGAATAACAAGTTTGTGAGAAGGAAACAAGATTTTGAATATATGATAACCTGATTTGCATTTGGGATATGCATTCCAGGCTTCCTCTTTCAGAAGGAGGGAATCTGCTGGTGCAAATGTGGTAAGCCAAGAGGGGATTTTGCTGCAGAAGCAGAATATGTCGTAAATGAAGTGAGAATAGCTAATGCCATGCAACTTAAAGAAGAACCAGAAGTTAATAAGGGCGACTTCTGATTTTACGTTTTCTACAATGATAAGAAACAATGTAATGTAAAGCAGCCATGACTATGAAAGCATAATTCATGCATGGTGCAGAAGCAGCAGAGTTGCCAGAATATTAAACTAGTGAAAGATTAAAAAGGAGAAGAAAATGATTGATTAAATGAGTAAGAAGTAATAAGAAAACTACTACAATTTAAAGCATGTAAAAAGCTAGTGAAAAATTTAGACTTCTCTTAAAAGAAAGCAAAAACTCCCAGACAAAAATAACAAATTGAAGAACGTCTTGGTGAGTTCATTGCAGATACAAATCAATAGGAGTCTGATTAAGAAGCTGCAGAGATTGCATTGTTGGGGGTAGCAATAAACGGGCGTTTTGAACTATACAAGCATTTCGTTTTCTCAAGCATAAGGTTATAACTCAAAAACAAAGGCAGTTTGGCAGAACGCACAGTTAGCTCAACTAAGTTTCCATATAATCAGAATTTATATACTTAAATAGACTAAAACAGTGTATGAATTATGATCATAGTTGGCAAAACTTATAGTAAAACTAATTACATGTCTTCACTAATTACAAGGGCTTATATTAATTTGCATTATTAGTAAACTGTTTCAAATTAATAATTTCATCATAGTTGCTGTTCTTATTGAGGCTGCCATTAAACTGATAATTCCCATCTTTAAATTAATAATTTCATCATATTTGCAGAAGCAAATACATGGCATATGTGTCAATTAAAATAGACAAAACACAGTCACACAACTCCCTCACTGCCCCTGCTCTGCTCCTCACACACAGCAGCCCGTAATTTCAATTTAAGCCACAAGGTAGCCTCCACACCAACACACAATCACACCACACATCAAGAATTAAACATCAAGGAGTACCTCATTTTAATTGAGCCTTCACTACAACCTGCCGCAACCCACAACGCCAACACCTAACTGCATAAACCTCCAGGACCAGCAGCAATTTCGAACAATAATACATAAATTAAATCCAAAAAAATCATGGCATTTAACATGAATAATTGGACCAAAATGCAAAGCTAAAGAACCCAGAAACCCTAACCTCGTATTTGTGATTTTTGAATCGATAATTGATTCAATTTTGTTGTTGTTGTTGTATTTGGTTCAAATTGACGGCGGCGGCGATGGTGGTTGTTCTTGGTTCTAATGACGCCGATTTCCGACGGAGGGCAGCGGTGGCCGATTGATGCTTGCATGGTTCGAATTGGCGCTAGCAATGGTGGTTGTGCTTGCAACCCTAAACAACAACCCTAAACAGCAACCCCGTGAGGCCGCGACAGCAACCCTAAACAGCAACCCTGACGGCCGGCGAGTGGCGGCGACAGCAAGTCAGCAAGATTGAGAGTTTGAGAGTTCAGTTGAGAGGATGAGAGGAGAGTTTGAGAGTTCAGTTGAGAGGATGAGAGGATTGAGACTCTGAGCAAGATGAGTAATAACGTATACCCGGGTTTTTTTTTTTTAAGGTTGGCAACGGTTGCCAACCTCTACTTTTTTTTTTTTTTTTTTTTTTTTTTTTTTTTTTAAATAATTTAATCAATTAGCAACGGTTAACATTTGCCAATTTAAAAAAAAAAAAAAATAGGGGTAGAGTTGGCAACGGTTTTCATGAACCGTTGCCATAGGGGGGTTGCCTATTTCTGTTTTTTAACTAGTGTGAGTGCCGAGCAAAGATTGATGAGCTAAAGAGGCAAGGTGCCGAAGAAGCTGCTATTGTCCTCAAAGCCGACCTGGATTCCATGACTGCCGGTTTCCGTACCTTATGCCAGGATTTGGAGCAGACCTTCTTCCCTTGGCTATAAGAGGGTCATGCGATGATCTAAGAGTACGGGACTGCAGACATTCCTAACCTCAAGGCCCGTATTGAGCAAAGCGTGCAGCGAGAGGTTGAGACTCGGCGTCTGATGGTCGAGGAATTCAAAGGGAAGGCTGCCAGGCCGAGGCCGAGGCTAAGAGGAAGCAGTCTGAGCTTGAGGCCGAGATTCTGTGACTAAGGAATGAGCTGGAAGCTCGGGACGCGGAGCTCTCTAAGGCTGAGTTTAAGCTGAAAGGCAAAGATGTCGAGCTTTCCTAGGCCCAAGCTGAGCTGAATGAGGTCCGAAGCCAGCTAAAGGCTCAGGACGAAGGGGCTGCCAAGACTCAAGCTGACCTTGAGGTTGCCTGGAAGCTGTTAGAAGTCAAAATCTATACCCAAGATGAATATGACGAGGGTTTTGACAACGGCTTCCAGACAGCTCGGCGCCTTACCTTCCATGTTGATCCCAACATAAACTGGGACGCGGCTGAGGAGTGGTCCATGGATCCCAGCGACCCGCATGCTTATGGCCCATCCTGCTAAGGTTGCTTTCTTGGCTCGTCAGGCTGAGGCCGAAGCTGAAGAGAGGAAGTGAGAAGAAGCCAAGAAGAGAAAGTCTGAAAAGACTCTTGCTTAGCCTACCTCCTCTTCAACTAGTGCTGAAGATTCTACGAGCCCAAGCGCAGCTACTCATCCAAATCCTGCTGGTGCTGAAGCATAAGAATTCAGGCAGTCGTCTTCAGAATCTTGCGGATCAACTTGTGCTTAACTGTTATGTTTGTCGCATTTGTTTTTGCCTTAACCTTTTGCTTCAGCTTGCCTTGATTTGTACAAACTCTAATTTTTTTTTTACTTTGAGTAGTTGTACTTAGTTCGGCAGCTGTATTTTTCCGCTTTTGGGCGGCTACCGATATAGAATTTCCTTGTATTTGGTTTGAAACTTTCAACTTTAATGTGGCTCGGAGATCCGAGCACATTTGAATTATTAATGCCTTGCTCTTTCTACTTAGTCTTCTTGCTGTGCTTTTTTTTTTATTCTTTTTTTTTTTTTTTTGCAAAAAAATTTTCTAAGTGTTGAGCTTCGGCCTCGAATTACTAATTAGCTGAGGGCTAATCTTCAGGTTTCTAAAGTGCTTGCATCAACTTTTCAGTGCAGACGAAGCTTTGCCTTAGCAAAATTTTGAAGTTTCTGCTCTTTTTCTTTCTCTTCTTTTTTTTTTTTTTTTTTTTTTTTTTTGTGAAGAATCTATGAGTTCATTGCTCAGAAGTCTTAGACTCCGTGAGCAATATTCTCTCGGTTCTTAAAATTCATCCGAGGGAATGACTATCCGAAACACAAGACCATCATTTTGGCAATACCTCGGATATAACTCCTCTGAAGCACGATGCCAATATATAGGCTATGTTTCAGATTCGTCCACGACCTCTTCGCCCCAAGGAACTGATTTATCCGAAGTACAATGCCGTGAAATGGCTGTACTTCGGTGGTGAAATCATTGTTCCCTATTTGGCAGGTTTGACGGCAATTCGAAACACTATGCCTCTGCTGGGCTATACTTCGGACAATGCCGAAGGGAAACCTCTTTTTTCAAAAAATGTAGAAGATAGAAAAATAGAAACTTGCTAAATTGATAGAAATGGTAGCTCGAAGGCCTTTCATTAATCCAAAGAGAATCACTTACATAAGTTGTTCTCCCCTAAAGGGTTTTTACATGATATTTTTTCAGTACGTCAGCATACCAATGGTTTTACAGCTCGGCTCCGTCCAAATGTCGAAGTCGGTAGGTTCTAGGCTGAAGCTCATCATAAATTTCATAGGGTCCCTCCCAAGTGGCTGAGAGTTTCCCATGAATGCGGCCTTCACAGCTGCAGCATTCCGAAGAACCAAATCCTCAATTTTAAGAGGTCTTGCATTGACTCTTCGGTTGTAAAATCTGTTGATTCTTTGCTTGTACGCAACCATTCTGTCTCAAGCCGAATCTCTGACCTCGCCCAGAAAATCGAGGGCTTCTATCATGAGTTGCTCATTTTCTTCGGCCGAGAAGAGATTTACCCGCAGACTTTCTATGCCGATTTCCACTAGAAGAACGGTTGTGGATCCATACACCAGCTCAAAAGGTGAATATCCCGTAGCCTCTTTTTCAGTCGTCAGAAGTGACCAGAGGGTTCCTGGAAGTTCCTCTATCTACTTAGACTTTTGATCTTCAACTCTCTTCTTGAAAGCGTTGAGAATTTGCTTGTTTGCAGCTTTGGCTTGACCATTACTTTGCAGATGACATACATCATAATATGCCAACTTGATGCCGAACTTATCAATGTACCGTCTTAGCGGCAAATTATCAAACTGTCTCCCATGATCGAAGACAGAGACCTTCGGGATTCCGAAGCGATTGATAATATTCTGCCAAATGAATTTCCTGACGGTTTGCTCTGTGATGTTCGAGGCTGCTTCGGCGGCCTAGATCCATTTTCTGAAATAGTCAATGTCGATTATCAACCATCTTATCTGGTACGGAGCATCGGGAAATGGTTCCAAAATATCCAACCCCCATTGAGAAAATGGAAGCGGGTTCAGGATCGGCTGGAGGTCTCGGGCTAGCTAATGGATAACTGGTGCGAATTTTTGACATTTTTTGCATTTTCTGACCAGCTGCTTAGCGTCTAGGATCATGGTGAGCCAATAATACCCTGCCCTCAATGCCTTGTGGGCTAAAGCTTTTTCCTCGATGTGGTTTCCACAGATGCCGAGGTGGATCTAATAATAATAATAATAATAACAATAATAACAATAATAATAATAATAACGATAATGATAATGATGATGATGATAATGATGATGATGATAATGATAGTGATAATAATGATAGTGATAATGATAATGATGATAGTGATAATGATGATAATGATAATGATGATGATGATAATAATAATAACAACAATAAGAACAACAACAACAACAATAATAATAATAAAAGTAACAATTATTATTATTATTATTATTATTATATTTTTGTGTATCAAGAGTCACAAAACAATAATATCCACTTACACCCTATTCTTTTTATCTTATTTAAATAATATTCAGTGAAATAATTTAAGTTTAGTAAAAATAAAAACTTTTAACAAAAATATAATAGAGAATCAATAAAAATAATTTAAGTTTTAAAAACCATAATTTAAGTTCAGCAAAAAAAAAAAAAAAAAAAAAAAAAAAAAAAAAAATCAGTTGAGCAAAAAACAATTTCAATTCAGCCAAATTAGGATGAAAGAAACAGAACTATTACCTGAATAATCATGACCAAAACTATACCAACTAATTAGTTCAACTATCATATAATAATAAATTGAAGATAACAAAATTGTCCCAAGACTTTGCCTACTAATAAACTAGTTACATATGTTATGGAGTAAAATCATTTTGATTAATAGTTATTTTTGCATATAATTAAAGGGGGTGGGGTGGGGGGTGAACGAGGGGTAATTTGTAAATTTATTAATATTTCAATTCGATATAATCAACTTATAAATAAGATAAATCCTTCACGATAGTATCAAACCATAGAAAAATTAGGATCTTATATATGAACCATCTTACTAGTTTGATTTCCCTCTAGTATTTTCAAGTTTGATGAATCAAGCATTACCCAAAAAAAAAAAAAAAAAAAAAAAAAGATTTCAAGAAAAAAAAAAAAAAAGCGGTTTCACTCGTATAAATATTAAAATTAAAATTAAGATTAAGATTAAAAATATGTATGATCAAGCCAAAATTATATGACTTGATGTTTAGACCCAAAAACAATTATAAATATATATTGAAGATGTAATTAATTTTCAAATTCTATTTCATGGAAAACAAAAGAATCACAAAGAAAACATACCAAATCAAAAGAACAAAATTGTCCATCATAATCAGTCACTTATCAATTGGAAAAAGCTTTCAATTTAGCAAATAAAGTATATCAACCTTAAAATTATAAATACAAAAACTAATTTTCAAGAAAAAATATAGTCTTGCCTTTTCTTTTCCAAAGCATGGCAAATATAAACATTAAGTTATTAACTAGAGTTATATTGTTAATTATTAAAAGTCTAGTACAATGAAGGAATAAATTCAGGTTTCAAATTGGAGATGAACAAAAGCAATAATTTCTTCTCTTACTCTATTATTACCACATTATTTATTTTGTACTAAGCATCCCAAGAACAAACTGGATACACTTTATTTTCATCTCTAAAAATGCTTTTACAAAATTCATTTCAAAGATTAAATAGGTAATACATACTAAAGTACGAATAAAGGAAAAATAACAAGGAGTGAATAATATATAACTATAAAAATTAAAAATGGCACGGGGAGCAAAGATAAGCTTAAAGTAATTAATAGTTTTCTCTTTCAACATACCTTTGTATGTTGCTTCTTCAAGAATTGATGTTGTGTGCATAAGTGAAGCCATATTTGGATTAACCAGTAAGATACGAATTCGCATAGCATAAATAGGGATAGATATCCCATAATCACTATACTCTTGACTCATTATCCTTTTGTGAAACCACACAAATATAAGAATTTTATGAGGGAAACAAGTTTCAGATTAGTAGCCAAAGGAGAAGAGTATTTAATTTTTTGAGGGTCTTTTTAGAGAGAAATGTGTGTTTGATGAGTGACAAGATAAAATTGGAATTTAATATTTTGTGTATGAAAATTAATTATGAAGGTTATATAATTGAAAGGGGTTGAAATTATTCCAATAATTATGTAACACGTGTATGAATCTAAAATATATTGAAAAAAGGTAATTATGAATCTGATTTTGTTCCAATCTGGTTTTGCCATGATTTGGTTCTAATCTGGTTTTTCCAAACCCCCCACCGTATTACTCTGGTCAATTAGTAGTTTTGTAGTTTTTATTTCATCTTTGTAGGTAGTCCAAACTGCTTTAACTTTGACTTTATAACTTTTTTTCCAGTAAAAACCCACAAATGGCACTGATGTAGACAAATTCTATTTGAGGTAGGTCTTCCATATCATCATCTCGAAAACAAAACATGATGTATGGCGTCCACATCATAACTAAGATTATATACATGAATTAAATTTTTTTTGAGCTCTTAAGAAAATACAAAATATCTCAATAAATTGTCTTTATGATATCGATACAAAGTAATATTATTTATTACCTAATTGTTGTTATTTGCACAATAACTTTGATTACCTATCTTGATAGGATATAAAATTGATTCATTTCCAAATATATATTGTGGACAACTAAAAATGTCTCCCCAAAACCAAACCCGATGATGAACAACCTTTAACCACCATTATTGGTCGGGTCGAGTATTTAATCTCGAGAGTGCTTAAAATCCATATTTAATCCAACACAGTCTACAAATCAATCCACATATCAGTCCAAGTATTTAGTCAAAGCATAGTCCAACTCTCATTTCAGTCCAAATCATTTTTAAACCACTTCATTTATTTATTAATTAAGCCCGATTAATAAATATTAAAACCCTGAACCTAATTAAGCCCGGAATAGCTGAAACAGCGTCTAATTATCCTGTACTTAATGTAATATAAAAGATAAAAATGAATTTAAACGGAATTCCAGAAACAAAATCGCCGCGCCACGGCAAATTCTGTTGCGTCACAGAAATTTCTGCCGCGCCACGGCAATCTTTGTCGTGCCTGCCACGACAATTTCTTTGACCCGGTTTTATCTTTTTACGCGGTTTTGACTTTGAAACAGATAGAATTTCGTACGGTGCCACGACAATTCTGCCGTGCCACAACAATTTCTACTGTGCCACAACAATTTTGTCATGACACGACAATTTTTTCTTCTGCGGCGCCTCATTTCTAGGGTTCCAGACCTCACCCCTTGCGTTTCCTCTATAAATATGAAGCTGATTTCACAGTTTCGGGGCACCAACACACATTCTAATCTCTCTCTCTCTCTCATATTCTAAGCCTTAAATCTATTCCCCTAATTACACCATTCTTTCCTTAAGCACTCTCCGGAGTCCATACAACACCTGAAATTCCATACTTAAATTAAGGCGTGAAAGGTAGAACTGATTGAGGGTTTGGACCAAATCAACTCTACTTTTATTATATTTAATTTCAATTTGATTTATATATTATTGAAGTCACTAACAATTTATTCATGATGTAGATGTAGCAATTTAAAGAAGTGTGGAACGTGAGTAATTTATTTACATAATTACTCTTATTTTTATCCTTATTGCTAGTATCATGATTAAGGTTATCATTATGATTTGATTTGACTAACGTTATTATGGCTAAATTACTTCCAATATTAATGATGATTTTATTATTGTATTATTGATCACCATATTGCATGTTTAAAGGAAATATGTAATTGAATGTAACGCCTAATAGTATAATTTGGACGACCGGTTTAGGATCCTTTTTATCTTGTTGTTAATTGAAGTGATCACTAATATTTTAGGGGTGCTGGCATATGTGCGGTCGTTAGTGGCAGGGAGGAAGCTTGGCAGTTGGTGGTGGCTGATTTTTTAAAATTTATTTTATTTAATTATTTAATTGTTAAAAAATTAAAATAAACTTTACCATAGTTAACTTTTAATAAAAAAACTATCATTAATGTTATAAATCATTTTATATAAAATTCGATTATTAAAGATAATTTGTTTTTTTTACAATTTACCATGAAAAAAAAAACTACTCACCATTGAAAATTTCCCAATTTTTTTTGGTGGTAAAATACAAATTTCCTAGAAACAAATATGTCTGGACATGTTCTCTTCAATTTAGGCACTCTTATTACTAAATATCATATCAGATCAGATTATAAACATTCAGATCAGACCTTTTAATTATCATTTATTTATTACTGAATATTGTTAATGGCATATTACAAAAAATTATGAAAATTACATATTTGAAAAGTTTATAATAAAACAAATGTAACAAGATTCATTTTAATAATATTTTTTTTTTATCATAGGTTAGTATTAACGTACGGTCAAAGTTTTTTAATCAAATTATTAAACCAGATCAGATCAGATTAGATAATAAAAATTCAAATCAGACCAGATCTCCTCCGGATGAAGAGAACAAGTCTTAAATTGATAATGGACGATGAATAGAATCCATTATTCACCATTGTCCGTAAAAGTTAGTTCTGGACAATCCGGGAGTGAACAAAAACAGACCAGAGTTTTATTATTGTTTTTGCTCGATTTAGAGAGGAAGCATCTGACCAGATTTGTGATGCAGCAAGTTAGGAATATACTTTTACCCCAATAAATCAATTTGTCTAAATAAATTATTCATTTCCTAATTTGTCCCAAATCTTGTTTTTCCATACCCTAAACCCATAAATTATTCAACTAATTATTTAAGGAGCAATCCAAAACCTTCATTTGATCTTGGCGTTAACCCCATTAAAGCTCTATGTGAGCATTTTGCATCTGATCTTTTATCAAAGTTTTGATTTTTAATAATGGCTGCCTCTGAAAATAAGGGTGTTGCAGTTTCTGGGAATGAGAAAAATGGGGTTGATCCAATACCCAATACCCATGTTTCATTTGGGCAATTGTTGGATTTGGGTGTTATTAATCAATTTGGGCAATTATTGGGTGATTATAGCAGATTGGATGAAGAGCTCTGGCTCTGTGATCTTGAGAATGATAAATCAATGGATGCTTTGGATAGTGGCTATGAAGGGCTTAAATGTCAAATTATACCATCTGTAAGTATTTCAAACTTCACACTTTTGTGCTCACTTAATTTCAGAAATTATCTTATTAATAGCATATTTTGATTTCTGTCACAAAAAAAAAAAAAAAAAAAAAAAAAAATTCTGGTTACGGATTTTTGAATCAGTTCTGCTGTTTACATGTCGATAGTAATAAATCTGATAATGACTTTATATATATATATATAATGATTAAATGAACTTATGTGTATTTTGATGTTGATTGTGTTGAGTGTCTGATTCTAGTGATTGATCATGTGTTAAGCTTTAATAATGTTGCACGATAAATTGAAGGTCTCATAGTGATAATGTGCTATTTGAGCCATGTTCCATAATTGGAACTTTGAAGGGTTGCAAGGAACCTATTGCACAATATGTCTGCTTGATGACATTGGCTAGTATCTTAAGTCCAAATCCAGATAATGAAAGGAATTTTCGGATTGTGTCGAATCTAGTGAAAGAAAACACGAAAATATTCCCAGGATTGAAGAGAAGTATCATAGAATCTTTATTTGTGAAGAGAAGTGGGAAAAGTCTGTGGAACGGTGTAGCAGTTGTTAGTTGTCAATGATATTTTAGGGTAAGGTTGCATACTGGTGAAGTTTCTTGGATTCTGTTTCAGCACAATCCATACTTCTTGCCATAAGAGAGGTGAATTGGGGACTAAGGATCATTTTGGATGACCAACTACTACTATTAAAAAGAAGCAATATATTCCTTGCTTCATTTGTTCTAGGTGGTCAGTAGAGTAGTAAGATTTGGAGGGTGAATAGTTTAATGTCAGATTAATCAACTTCTTCATCTTTTCTACTTCCACCTAACTATATATACCATATATACCTTCTTTTATGGTTAATTTATTTCTAAGAACCTTTGTAATTAATTTATTGTATCTCAATCTCATGACTTAAAATATCTCAATCTTTTTTAATTTTCTTATTTGGGTTTGCCGACGTATCATAATCTTCTATGTGACTCCTAAAATTAGAGGAAACATGTATTACCCCGCCTATCACTCTATTGTTAGGAAAGATACACGTTTGCTAATGGTCATATGTTATCTCATCTCACGAAATGTGACGAGATTGATGATTTAGTGCTATATTGTTAGTATGCATGGGTGTTGATTTCGTAATCACATGGTGTGACTAGCATACATACACGGCCCAACCTTCATTAAGGCTCAAAAAATAATGGACCCCAATTTCTAATCCCGTAAATAACGGTTTAATTTGAATTTCCCAAACTTGTTTTCCTAGTTTCCTTCCTCTTTTTCAAAACCGCCATTACTTCTGTCACTTCGACTCTTTATTTCCCTTTAATTTGCTCTCTGCAATTCTCTTTCTTCCCACTCTTTTCTTTAATTTTCTCTCTGCAATTTCGTCCGTTCTCTCTCTAACTTTTGTTCTATCTCCTCTAAATTTGCTTCTTTTTTCATCTCAATTGTCAACAATGGTTAAAATCAAGAAAACCAGTCGCAAGGGAAAGAAAGGATTGTCTACATGTACAATCGCTGATGATTCAGGTACTTTGAAACCCTAATTTTTTCGTTTTTACAATTTTTTTTATGATCGTTCTTTCTTTACTCGAATTTATCTTTACTTTTTGGTGTTTTGATGATTTTCTTCCTTGTATTTGATGTTTATTGTAATTTTTTACAATATTTTGTTGTTTTTTGTGAATTTTCAGCTTCTATTTCTTTGTTTATTGTAATTTCTTACATTATTGTTGTTTTTTTAGTTTTCCTGTTCAATTTCTTTCTTTGTTCACTTGATTTTAATTTTTTATTTCCCTAGTTTTGACCTAAGTTTCGAATTTGTTGAGTGGGAGTTATTCTAATTTAATCTTGTCAATCTCAGTAAATATATGTAATTTCTCATATTTTTGATGTTATTATTAGCACTCATTTATGTAGGGGTTACCTATTTTGTAGTTTTTTTTTGATGTTCAATACTTGTTTATGTAGGTGTTACCTATGTGATGGTTTTCTTAGGGTTAATTGGTTCTTTTTAGAGTAACATAGTTTTGGTTTGAACTATGTTGTTGTTTTTATGGTTATGGTTGCTGATTAGAGTAACATAGTTAATTGAGGTTTTTTTTTACTTGTTTGATGGTTTTAAGGGTTACTTTCTTTGTATATAGTTAGTATTTTTAGGCTTATTTGGTTGTATATCAGACACTCAGGGTTAGTGTTATTTGGTTTTGCAGAGGATATATATCAGGGGTTACTTGAATTTATATGATGGGTTACTTAAATTTACTTAATTCTATATCTATTGTGGGATATAATGAAGCTAATGATTCAAATCTGAAATCTGATTCTGTTGTGTCAACAGGGAAGGAGCATGTTGTTAAGACTAGTAAAAAGCAAAAAAACAGATCGGAGGATAATGCTGTTGATGTATCCCAGGATGTTGCTCGTTCTAGTAAAAAGCAGAATATAGAAAAGGATAATGAAAATGTTAAGGATTTGAATGATTTGCAATCTACTGAGGATATTCCTGCCGAAGATGTCAAATCTGCTGAGGATATTCCTGCTGAAGATGTCAAATCTGCTGAGGATATTCCTGCTGAAAATGTGAAATCTGTCAATGCGAAGAAACGAAGAGGTCGTAGAGCTGCTACTGATTCTAGTCAAGAAATTGATGTAAAGCCTAATGTTGAGGATGTGAGACCTGTCGTTGCGAAGAAACAAAGAGGTCGTAAAGTTGCTGCTGATTCTAGTCAAGTAGTTGAAGTTGTAAACTTTGAACAGAAAGGTCAACAGTGGTATGTTTACATTTCTTCTTTCATATTTATCGTGCTTTGGTTTACTTGTTCTTGTTTTCTTTTATATTAATTGTGCTTTGAATTACTTGTTTATGTGTTACTTTTTCCATTGTGAGGTTAGTTCAAAGGGGTTACTTATTATATTAGTTACTTGCAATTAGGGAAGATTTATAATATGGGTTACTTGAAATTAGGGGTTACTTACAATATGGGTTCTTTGTTTTTGTATTCTGTTTTGGCGTGTTATAAAATGGGTTACTTGAAATTAAGGGTTACTTATATATGAGTTAATTGAAATTAGGGGTTTCCAATAATATGAGTTACTTGAATTTAGGGATTACTTGAAATTGGGGGTTACTTGAAATTAGGGGTTAGTTACTGGTAATATGGTTTACTTGAAATTAGGAGATACTTGAAATTAGGGGTTATATGGGTTGCTTGAAATTAGTAGTTACTTGAAATTAAGGATTACTTGTTTTTGTGTACATTTTTGGGTATGTTTTGGTTTAGGGTTGACTTGTTTATGTTTTCTGTTTTGTATCTGTTTTTTGGTTCAGGGATGATGAAGTTGTCGTGCGATGCAGACCAGCTGGTGTTGTTCAATTTATGAGAAAGACAACTGATAAACAAAAGACAGCTGTCGAGTCTATTGGGTTTGGTAGTTTGGCATCAATCAAGCTAGAAATTTGTCCAAGGCAAATGATTCGCTGGCTTTGTGAACACTTTGATGCAAAGTCTTGTTCTTTTAAGCTACCTTCTGGACAAACTTATAAGCTAACAGCAGCTGATGTCCATGATGTTTTTAACATACCCATGGGTTCTTTTGCTATTCCCATTTCCGGTAGACAACGAGATTCTGAGTTGAAGGCTTCTTGGAAGAAAAAGTATACCGGTGGTAATAAAGACATAACTGTTCCACTTTTGGTTAACGAGATGAAAAGTGATAAGGGTATGTTGAAAGGTAATGATGAATTCAAAAGATGTTTTGTGATGTTTGCCATGGTTACATTACTTGCCCCCACAACAAATAGACAAGCTGATTTAAAACTAGTTTTAACTTTAGAAGATGTTCAGAAAACCAGTAGATATAATTGGTGTCAGTATGTTTTGGACGATCTATGTGATAAGTTGTCATGTTACAATGATTCAGTGAGATATGTTGCTGGGTGTGTACTTTTTCTTCAGATTTGTTATTTCCATAGGGTTCAAATTCAAGGCAATGTACTAGAGGATAGTTCATTGCCATTGATTGGGCACTGGACTGATGAGTTAATTAAAGAAAGGATAAGCCTTGAAAATGGAAATTATGGTCAATGTGTGTTAGATGAAGTAACATACCATGTTATCAAGGCTGGGAATGCTGGTAAGAGTACAAAGGTGCAAAAGAAGGAAAAAAATTTAGTTGAAGAGAAAAAAGAAGAGAACACAAGAAGAGAGAAAGAAGAAAAAGGAAAACAAGAAAAATTCCATGCTGCTACAAGCTGCCCCAAGAATGATAACTATGAAATAGGAAGACTGTTCAAGATAGCATGCAAAAGTAAAATTCCGCCATGGAGACCAATTACGACATATTTGGATGCCTCATAACCTCCACCATTTTTCCCACCAGTGCTAAGTAGAATGATAACTTGAATCAGCTGTGCCAGAGAGAAATCCACACTAGCTGTGACAGCCCACTGCCAATGAAAGATGATATAACCAAATGTATAGCCTTACTGTATAAACTGTTGAATTTCTAATAGCAAATGGAGTGTTTTAGCCATTTGAGATTCAGAGCATCATTCTTAGAATTACCTGACTAACAATGTTGAACCTGCAAGGTATAAAGGTGACATTCATTCTTTATTTTGGAGTAATAAGTATAAAAATATACATATGTAGTAATAAATTTGAAAATATAAATACATTCATTAAAACATTGACAAAAAACCAAAGTAATAAATTGAAAATTTTGTCAAAAACCACCCACTAAAAACACTTTTTTTTTTTGTGAAAAACCACCCACAATAAAAAATGTTGTAAAAACTCACCCACTACCGGGAAAAAGTCGTTGACCATATTTGCCGGTGTTGACTACCCTCCCCACCCCCTCGAAAATCCATAGAATTCACCGGAAAAGTCCGGCCGTCCCTCCCCTCTCTCCCTCCCCCTCAAAAACCCTTAAAATTCACTCCCCCTCCACCTCGAAAACCACTCTGACCACATTTGCCGGCGGTGGTATGGGGTTTTTCATTGTTTTCGAGTGAATTTTAGGGGTTTTCGAGACATCATCTCTGCTTACATTAACTTAGTTTAACTTGAATGGCAGACAGAGGAAACTAAGGATGCAGATACAAATGGACTTAAAGGAATTATTAGTGCCATTGGTATATCAATAATCTTTGGTTGGGCTTACATAATCGGATCACCTTTGCAGTCACTGATATTCCTTACCTTTTAAGTAGCGAAAATGATGCTGGTGGTTATGCCATAGCTCAAGTATTCTACCAAGCATTCAAAAGCAGATATGGAACTGGAATTGGAGGAATAATTTGCCTGTGCATAGTTGCTGTGGCCATATTTTTCTGTGGCATGAGTTCAGTCACCAGCAATTCTAGGTATACACTCTTCTTGATCATGGAAATTCTCTATGAGATCTCATAAAATCAAATATTTCTACTCAGAATGGCTTATGCATTCTCAAGAGATGGTGCCATGCCTTTTTCATCAGTATGGCATGAAGTGAACCGACAAGAAGTTCCAGTCAATGCAGTGTGGATGTCAACTTTCATCTCCTTCTGCATGGCATTGACGGTATGCACTAAAAAATGTCCATGAATCTTTTTAGTTAGAATGCACATTAATAATATCTGACTAGAAAATATACATGTTATGTGCTCCTACTTATGCATTGACATGTTATGGACTTGTGGTGATATCTTAATAATATAAAAGTTAGTTTGTGCAATGTGATAATATCTTAACAATATTAATGTTACTTTGTTTGTGCACTATGCATTAAGGGAGGAACTGTCTTGAATGGCACAATGATTGTACACTTGCAATACCACTTTAGTCCAAAAAGAGGCTGTGAGAAATGAAATTAGCAAATAATTCAGTGCTTATTTAAAAGTCTAAAAGATTCATCAGAAGGTTGTTTTCTTTAAAAGAACCTGATTTCAATGCGTTCATACACTCAAAAGGATATGTTGATGAACTTCCTCGCTATATCCTTCCATCCTGGAAAAAATAAGCCAGTCACTCATTCCTCAGCCAAGAGCTTGCTAGGCATGTCACTCTGCACACTTAAGCTGCTGCCAAACCGTTTGTACTAGCTAATGGGCACCATCAAAATTGATGATTGCATCTGAACCTAAAAGGACAAAATTCCAGCTTTTCAAATCATCAAAGGTTGGAATCGCTTTATTAACAATTTTCCAAACAAACAATTTCCATCTTGAATTTTTTTTTCAAATTCTGATAGCCTCATCCTAGGATTAGTTTTAATCAGGATAACTCTGCAGATCGAAAAATGCATTTCCCCATCAAACGGAATAAGAACCTATATATCCTATCTCTTAGGTATGCCATTATAGCATTTGCAGTGGTAAACGGAATAAGAACCAATTCAACTTTTCATTGTCTAGTTTGAGCACATATGTAACCTGCAGCTGTTATTGGAGCTTGAAGTATCTCTATGGTACTGTTGGACTTCATGTTTAACTAGGCCTTATGCAACCATCTTTCATTGCATATCATAATTTCCTTCCGTTTAAAATCATTACTTTGGAGTTTGGACAAATCGCAATAAAGTTTTGTCAAAATACCTGTAAAATTGTATAGAAACAAGTCAAAATCATTTTGGTTGTTTAGTAGAAATGAAACTAAACTAGTGATTGAAATCATATTAATTTATTACTGGCAGGAAGAATAATTTAGGCTATTGCTATCTTGGTTGCAATGACTCACATGTTACATCAATATTTTTTTCTGCCACTGTACTCAATATTCTTCAAAGGATTCAGAGTTTTATTACAGCTTTATGATGGGAGGGTAAGGGTTTTATGCATCCTATTTATAGGGTTAAAAATGTTCTTTTACTCACTAAAGGGAAGAGCTGGGGTGGTGAAGGGTTACATAAAGTTAAATGGCTGAACAAAGCACTATTAAAAATATGCTAGTTCACAATTATTAATATAAGGCCTTTTAACAGAAGAGAATATTCCTGCAAATTCACTTTTAACCAGTAGATGTTTAACATTTCCATAAAAAAGATAAAGAGATACAGTGAGAGGGGAATCTGGGGATCACCCTGTCGCAGCCCACATTTAGGTAGAAAGGGAAACTCAATATCAATAATTAAATGGAATCCAACAGAAAATTGTTCTGTCTCCATGAACTTTCAACTGATTTTCTTATATACCTAAAGTCGATTTTAAGCGCAGCCCCACCTTTTCTACCCTTCTTCCGATCAATGTGCTAAACTATTTACTTTGTATGAGCTATTAGATAATCATTCCTAGCAAATGTGATACCACAAAAGCATGTTGATGTATGGCTCTACTAGGGCTTACCGAGATCCATCATCAATTTCATGAACCCTGTTCCGCCTCATTCAAGTCTTCGTCTTCACAAAAAGCAACCTGGCACAGCTCTCTTCTTCTTAATTTCATTGTATTTTTGCACATTGCCTCTAGGATTCCTATTTCATTCCAGCCTTTTGGAGCCACTACTTTCAATTTGCTGTTCATATCCACTGTGAAAGTTATCCATGTCAGCATTTACACCTTTTGCAGTATTGCATCATTTTAGAATAGAACTTTTCCCTTTTAGTTTTGAAGTTCTGATCTTACACCATGATAGGAAAATTAGTTGATTTTTCCATATTTTTTTGCTAAAGTTTAAATTCTTAAACTTGTATTTAAACATGCTTACCAAGGATCATAAACTGTATAACTATTTGGCTGACTTGTAAAGTGCTCATGTTGCATCCTAGTCCTTTTCCAAATGTATCACTTTTTGTAGGATTAGGCATGGCTTGTACATTCATGCAAAGTTGATAAGTATATTGTTTATGTTAAGGATTCAACTTGCTCTATAGTATTTGGTCTTTTTCTCTTCATATTGTCTTCTCCTCTGGCAGTCTCTTGGAAGCCTGGTGGCATTTGAAGCGATGGTATCACTAGCAACTATTGGGCTGTATATAGCTTATGCCTTGCCTATCTTCTTCAGAGTCACCTTGGCTCGCAATTCTTACATCCCGGGACCTTTCAATCTGGGACGATATGGGATACTTGTTGGATGGATTGCTGTACTCTGGGTAATCACCATTTCTGTTTTGTTCTCCTTGCCTGCTGCATATCCCATTGACACAGAGAACCTTAACCATACACCTGTGGCTGTGGGTGGTCTGTTGATTCTCACAGTTTCTTCATGGATTTTATGAGCAAGGCATTGGTTTACAGGTTCTATTACAAATATACGTAATTGATTCATGAATTGTTTTCGCTCTTTGTAATATGAATGACAACACACATCTCAATTTCTAGCAGGTTTATGCCTTCCTATGATAGATTGATTTTACCTCATTTACAATATCTCTTATTTCTTTTCCCATCATCTTTCATTGAAAGGCCATTAGATTTGTTGTATTACTGTTCAACATCCTATATGTGAAAGCAGAAGTTTACTTTGTATGATATACAGTAAATCTATTTTTAGGTGACTATTTTTTATTGGATTGGTCTGGAGACAGATGATTAATTTGTAGAACAATTTGAAGCAAAATATAATAAAGTATATGCATCGTCGAGCCTGAGAACAAGCACAGGATTCATAAGCACCAAATACAGTAAATAAACTGGTCTAATTGTCTCAATAACAAGTCAAGATTGTGGTGCACATTTCTGAACGCACAAAATAAAGTTTAACAACCAAAACAAATAAAGAAAAAGGCAACTATTTTTTAAAGCATGTATCATCAAGGTTTAGATCAGTTCCACCCCGATGAAGTATCTTCCAGTTCACGCATCATTGCCAGTGTTGAAGCCCAAGCTCGTGAAATCACTGCCTGGATCATCGTTTATCTGTAAGCACCCAACAATAGCAACTGGTAAGTTTATAAACGAATAAACCCCCATAAAAATATGTTACAGCTTTTATAGATTTTTTCATATTTAAGCAGTGAGAAGTTCTAATAAGATGTTTAACCTCGGCTAAAAATACTTCAAAGATATTTTCTTCATCAGTAAGCTGATGTGTGTGGCTTGGGTCTGCAGTATTCGGGATCTCTTCAGTAGAACCTGTAACTCCAGCATCTTGAAGGACATTCCCAACTAAATCATTTGTAGGTTGTATAGCCTGATTTTCTAAACCATAAGAAGGAAAAAGGCTGTTGTTATTACTGTTAAAATTGGGAACATCTGGAGTCTGAAGTAATCCTGTTGTTTCGACCTGTAAGTTGTGCAAGTTGCTAGGATTCTGCATAAAAGATTCAACATAATTCTCCGTTGATGCATTTGAAAATTGGTTAAGGTATGGTGCGCATGAACTTAGTAAAGGAGAAGACCCTGGATTAATAATGCTTGATCCATTACATCTATAATTCGGAATAGCATTATTCCCCAGAACATTAGCCTGTCTGCTCACCAACTCGCCTGTACTCCTGAAAGCTCCATTGCTAAAATTTTCAGACTGAGAGGCATTTCTATTGTAGCTTGATGGTGAAAGTGCAACTGATTTAGTCTGTAAATTTGGTATGGAACTTGCATTCTCTGTTTCAGATCCAAATTTATATCGATTATGTACTCTTACAATTTTAAATACTTATTTACATGCTTAAATATGTAAACATACCTGTGCTTGTATTAGTCAAGCATGCATGTCGAATTTGATCAATCCTTCCTCTAAGAAGAGATTGATTGCCAGTGGTCTCATTAATTGCCAATTGGTTACTGGTGTTGAATAAATGTGAAGTTTTGTTCATAGAGCTTGTTCCATTCAGTATTACAATCTGGCTGACATTATTCCCAAGGTTAAGTCTAGTGGTGCCATAGAGTTGTTGTCCATATCCAGAGCCACTTAAAACTCTAGGACTCGGTAGACTTAAACCATGATTTTGAAGAAAGCGATAGCCCTGTCTTATAGCAGCAGCATTGCTGAGTACATTTTTTGGTTGTTGCCTAGGAGTAGCTCCTGACCTTTGAGCATTGGTTATAGCATAACTTGCATCTGGGAGAGCTTGTGTTGTATCAGTAGCACTTGTTGGAGTTGCTATATTGGTAGAATTCGAAAGACCCTGAACTTGTATTGTATCAGTGGCACTTGTTGGAGTTGCTACATTCGTAGAAGGATGATCACCCCGTTCTTTGTTTTTCTGTGGGAGGTAATAACAAAAGCTTAACTACTATACAACTATGTAAGTGCTTAAAAACAAGAGAAACATAGAGGATTGACAATTACATGTAAAAAAGAAATGGGGGGCAGGGGGGACGGGCAAGGAGAATGCCGTTTGAACTTCAACATGTGTTATAATATTGGCCGATTCAAGGATACTTGAAAGAGATAACTGTCGGGGATTGACTACTGCAAATTTCAGTATGTGAACAATATTTCAATCGCCTTATTAAGGAGCATTCATGATTGATTACAGAAATTTAAAGACTAACTATGTCGTTTTTCCTTATTGAATTTGACTTCATGTATTACTTGCAGGAGCTCAACTGCATAACTAAATTAAAAAGAAATAAAGTAGACAAAATGAATGAGCGAAAAACAAAACAGAAGAAGATGGCTTGTTACCTGAACTAAAGCAGCTAAATAAGCAATTCCAGGCCCTGGTTGTGCTGGAATAATCGCTTTAAAAAAAAATTAAGAGTTAGGATATTGTATATATTATGTGAATGTAAGCCTTTATGAGAAAAATTCAATAGATAACACGTATTTTGGTGTGTCACCTTCTTCATTGCCATTCATAAGTGCTTCCATAAACTTAGCATGAAGTCCAGTATTCCACCTGAGAATTTTCTTGTACTGTATTCTACCTGTCGAGGTTTCTGTATCACCGTTCAATGTTTTCTCATTACCGTACTGCACTCTTTTTCTCTTGTGGTTGTTCTCTGTATGCCTGCTAGCTCCAACTGCAATTGCTAAATTACTCGAAGGAGTTTCAGTCGCGATCTCTTTGCCTTTTCCTACAGAGATGCCTGTTAGTTGCTCATTCTGAGGCAACTCTTTTCCTGTTTTCCTGATATCAGTACGAGTTTTACTTCCATCTTTCCTAAACACATATTGCCAGAAATATTGAGCATCTTCCCGCCTTATAGGTTTCGTGCAAAGCTCACAAGCTCCTCGTTCCATAGCTTCAAAAGCCAATGGATCATGCTTCTTGTAGGTGGTCACTATAAACAATGAAATACTAGAATGAAATTGTTGCAATACACATTTCTAATAATGTTATCAATTGATTGAACTAGAACTGTAGAAAGTCTGTTAAACTCACAGACAACAGGGAGGTCTGAAACCATTTTCGCAATTTTAAGGAATGTAAAGCCGTCCATTTCTAGCATGTCCGTTGCAGCAATGACCAAGTCAAACTCATTTGCTCGTTCTTGCATCGTTTTGAGTGCTAAAATTGGGAATTCAATACTTGTAACTACCAAAAAACATGAACAATTAGCTTGAAATTTGGAATATCTTTAATACTACCTTTGTGTATTTCACTTGCATTTTACATGGTCTACAATCAACACCATTTATTAACCATTACTCCCTCCGTTTCGTATTAATCGCAACGAAAGGGAGCACGTAGTTTAAGAAAATATAGAGTAGGTTTATAGGCTTTAAGATAAAAAAAAGTATAGTTTATATAAGAGAAAAATGATAAAAAAAAAAGTGGTGTAAGTGGGATTGGTAGGAGAGAGAAATAATAAAATATTTCTGAAAGTGGGGTCAATAAGAGAAATAATAAATAAAATAATAGTGAGTCCTTGTCAAATTAGGAAGTGTTGCAATTTTTATGAAACGGATATAAAAGGAAAACATTGCGATTATTGCGAAACAAATGGAGTAATATATTTATTTGTACAGTAGTGATAAGGGAGAAATCCTTTTTTGAGCTCTGAATTTACAGAGCTTGAGTATTTTTTCCAAAAAAATGAAGAGCAGAAAAGGAAGAAGAAGAATGTAACAAAATAGAGAAAGAAAGAAGAGAGATAGAGAGAGGAAGATGGGGAAAAGTTCAGTGTATTTCTTAATGAGAATATTACACTGCACGCACTATATATTTAGCTCTCCTAATCAACCAAGCTAAACAGAATAAAAGCATCTTACAGCTAAGCATAGAATACGACAAAAGCAGCTAACAAACTTTGGCTAACAGAATTTCCCGTCAAATAACCAATTTGCAAATGTATTTATTTTCCATCTGTAACATACTCTCCCTCAAGTCTCAGAGAGAATAAAGCCAGGATACTGAGCTTCAAAGTCTTGCTTAGCCATCCAAGTAGCATCATGCCTAGGCCTATTCTGCCACTGTGTTAAGACTTGCTCTTCCTGCTCCCCAGCTAGCATCACAGTTCGAATGTCCAATAAGGCAGCAGGAACTAAGGTATCAGCATTAGTATGGCTTGCCATATCAAGTATAACAGCAACTTGAGGCAAGGTTCCTCGAAATGCCTTAAGTTGTGACACATGGAAATACATTATGTATTTTAGCAGAAATAGGCAGCTGAATCTTGTAGGCAGCTTTACCAATGACTTCCACTACCTTAAAAGGACCATAGTACTTTGCTGCAAGCTTACAACTACTTTTGTGCTGAACAATTTGCTGTCTATAAGGATGTAATTTCAGCCAAACCTAATCATTCACTTGAAAAGTTCTTTCTGATCTCCTCTTGTCAACTTGAGCCTTCATTCTATGTTGTGCCTTTATCAAATTAGCTTTAAGTAGCTTGAGTATCTCTTCTCTTCTCATCATACGCCTATCCACCAATTCATTGCTTGATTCTCCAGGTAAATAAGGCAAATGTAAGGGAGAGCGTTGACAGTACACAGCCTCATAAGGGGTCATACCAGCTGAGGAATGATAATGAGTATTGTACCACCATTTTGCCATGGGCAGATATTTGCACCATTCCTTTGGCCTGTCACTAGTCATGCACCTCAAATAGGACTCTAAGCACCTATTACAACTTCAGTTTGCCCATCAGTCTCAAGGTGATAAGCAGAAGATAATAAGAATTCAGTCCCATGCAAAGAAAATAATCCTTTCTAGAATTGACTCAAAAATATTGAGTCCCTATCACTCACTATGCTCCTTGGCCACCCATGCAATTTAAACACATAGTCTAAGTAAACCTGAGCCACATCAACAACTGAAAAAGGGCGTTTAAGAGCCATGAAATGAGCATACTTAGTTAACTTGTCCACCACCACAAAAATACAAAGGCAAACCAGTGATGAAATCCATTGAAATATCAGTCCATATTTGCTCTGCTACTGGCAAGGGTTGCAACATGCCTGGTTTAGCTGAAGTATCATATTTAGAAGCTTGACAAATGACACATTTTCTGACCAAGTGACTAACATCTTTGGTCAGTCCTTTCCAATGAAAAATGCCCTGCCTTTTCAATGTCTGATCTCTGCCTGAGTGTCCTGCTTCTAAAGAGGCATGCTGACACATGATTAGCTTTTCCCTGATTAGGATCTGGTCCCACCAGCACCTTGCCATGTTTTTTGAGAAGCCTATCATGTAGACTGAAGTGAGGAATTGCCTTATTATTCTGCAGTTTCAGCAAAATGGCTTTGATATTGTCATCTAGAGTATAACTGTTCTGTATCAGCTGTACCAAATCAGAATCAATTACCGAGATAGCCATAAGCAAAATATCAGAACCTGGCACCTTAGATAGAGCATCAGCCACCAGATTCTGCTTCCTAGACTTGAACTGAATCTCATAGTCAAACCCCATAAGCTTAGATAGCCAGAACTGCTGAAAGGGGGTCGAAATTTTTTGTTGTAAAAGCCATTTTAAGCTTTTCTAGTCAGTCTTCACCACAAAGTGAGCACTACTCAGATATTGCTCCTATTTCTGCACAGCAAACACCATAGCCAACAGCTCTTTCTCATGAATTGAGAGTTTCTGCCACTTAGGGCCTAAGGATCTGTTGATGAAAGCAATGGGGTTACCTTCTTGCATCAATACAACACCTATACCAGATTCTGAAGCATCATTTTAATCTACAAACTGCTTTGAAAAATCTGGTATTGCTAGGACAGGTGTTGTAACCAATGCAATTTTTAATGCTTCCAAAGCCTGTTGAGCAGCATCACACCACTCAAATGCACCTTTCTTCAATAAATCAGTGAGGGGTTTACTTATACTAGCATAACCCTTCACAAATCTATGGTATATCCAGCTAGTCCCAAAAAGCTTTCAACACTTTGACTGAAGTAGGACTTGGCCAAGACCTGATTGCATTGACCTTGTTAGGATCAGTTTCCACCCCTTTAATGGATATGAAATGCCCTAAGTATTCCACCCTATTAGTGACAAATGAACACTTAGTTTGGCATAAAGAGAATGCTGCTTCATAAGTTCAAACACACAGCAGTCAAGTGATCCCAATGCTCAGATATGCTTTTAATATAGACTAAGATGTCAGCAAAGAAAACCAAAACACATTTCCTTAGAAGTGGCCTGAACACTGAATTCATCCAACTCTGGAAAGAAGAGGGATCATTTGTCAGCCCAAATGGCATGACCAAGAACTCATAATGGCCTATGTGTGTCTTGAAAGCAGTTTTGAACACATCATTGGGATGGATTCTGAGTTGGTGATAACCAACTCTGAGGTCAAGCTTGTTAAATACTCTGGCTCCACTCCAAACAATTCATCCACCAATTCTTCAAGAACTGGAATAGGGAACTTATTTTTGATAGTTCTCTTATTCATTTCTTTATAATCCATACATAACCTCCAAGTACCATCTTTTTTACCAACCAAAACTATAGGAGAAGCAAAAGGGTTGGCACTATCTTAAATGATGCCTCTCTCCAGCATCTCTTAAACCAATTGCTTAATAATATCCTTTTGCTTCAAGGGTATACGTAGGGTCTGATATTTACAGCTCCACTACCAGGTTCCAGATTAATTTTATGGTCAAAGACTCCTCTCTCAAGAGGTAATTCAGCTGGCTCCTCAAAGACTTGAGCAAAAATAATCTTTAGTGCTTCTAGCTCCTCATGCACTCTTGTTTCACTAGTAACTTGAACCAGGCAAGAGGATCAATCGCCTGTAGAAAGCATACCTGAGCAGCATTATCAAGCAGTTTGGTTGAAGGACCATCCTGAATCACCTTAAGCTTCTTTGATGGAACCCCCTTCAACTCCACTCTAGAGTTATTGAAGTGAAACTTCATAGTTAACTACTTGAAGTTCCATGAGATTGAACCAAGGGTGCTTAGCCACTGAATACCAAGCACCATATCATAACTGCCCAAGGGAATGAGCATGGCATCAGTCACAAATTCATTATCACCAATAGTCCAAGTGAAGTTTTTGTAGATAGATTGGCATAGAAGGTGATTGCCATCTGCTACCATGATTTCCTGACCAATGATTGCTTCACTCTTGCAACCTAGCTTCTCTGCCAAGTTAATGTCCAGGAATGTGTACTCCCTGAATCAATCAGAGTATGCAATGGTACTCCATGTTTCATTGCCTTAACTCTCATGGTATGATAATTCTGGCTTCCTGTCTGAGCACTAAGAGGAATGCAGGGGTCCAGTTCACTCACATCTTCCTGTTCTTCCAACTGCACTACAACACCATCAACCTCATCTAAACTAGGAATCTCTATGGTGAACAGCTGAGGCTCTTTGAACTGACATTTATGATTCCTGTCATAAGGGACATCACAGTAATAACAAAGGCCCTTAGCTATTTTCTCAACTCGAACATCAGCAAGAACATATTAAGGTTTTTGAAAGGGTTTGGTGTTTGTTTTGGTTAGGGTTAAGGGTTGTGTTGGAGGAGTAGGAAGTAAGGGAGGCTGTTTGTAGCTAGGTGAAGTGCTCTGCTAAGGTTTTGAGTATGTAGCAGGTGGTCTGTAGATCTTTTGAGAGTTGACTAGTATTTTTTCAGAACGCAATCTAGTATACTCCACAGCTGCAGTAATAGTCTGGGGCTTAAATGCCCTCACAAAAGGTCTTATGCCAGGCTTGAGGCCTCCAATAAAACTTTCAAGGAAGTATTTCTTAGGTAAGCATTAGCTATTTTGCATCATAATCGATCTCAAGTTTTCAAAGTCATTAACATAAGATTCAATACTATCAACTTGCTGTAACTTATTAAATTCTTCTACTACATTCAATCCTCTCTCATCCTTGAATCTAGCACTAACTTCAATCACAAAATCACTCCAATCTACATTAGATCTATTAGCTAAATAGCTATAGATCCAGTTTTCAGCCTTGCCAGTCATGTCCAAGGATGCCAGATCAACCTTCTGATCATCTGGTATCTTACACAAATCAAAATATTTGCAGCACTTTTTAATCCACACCTTAGGGTTACTACCATTAAATTTTAGGAACTCAAGTTTAGGATTATTATCCCAATTTAGGCTGAGATACTCGCTCATCCACTCGAGGTGTAGGCATACTATCCTTCATCACCTACATCATCCACAAGAGTCCCTCAAATTTTTGATTCGATGCTGCATTTTGAGCTTCAAATTTCTTCTCCAATGCTAATAGTTGTGCTTCCATCCTGTTCACTCGGGTATAAGTGTTGGTGCCAGAATGGAAAGCAGCAGAGTTGAGCCACGGTGGCTCTGATACCACTGTTAAGGGAAAAATCCATATATAAGCTCTGAATTTACAGAGCTTGAGTATTTTTTCTAGAAAAATGAAGAACAGAAAAGGAAGAAGAAGAATGTAACTGAATAGAAAGAGAAAAAGAAGAGAGATATAGAGAGGAAGATGGGGAAAAGTTCAGTGTATTTCTTAATGAGAATATTACACTGCTCGCACAATATATTTAGCTCTCCTAATCAACCAAGCTAAACAGAATAAAAGCATCTTACAGCTAAGCATAGAAAACGACAAAAGTAGCTAACAAACTTTGGCTAACAGAATTTCCCGCCAAAATTAACCAATTTGTAAATGTATTTATTTTCCATCTGTAACAAACAGTAAAACAAAAAACTATAACATTTCTTTTTTATGACACACAACTTACAAACCTTATGAAATATGTGTGAGTGTATTAGTATATATATCAAATTAACAACATAACTTCATTCGTTACATACTCGGTAAGTCGGTAGGAGTCAATAAAATAGTTGCCACATGATCACTCACAAACCGGCAAAGCAATTGCATTTCTTATCTTACATAAAATCAGCAAAATATTGCATTCATAAAACAAGAATCGACAAAATAATTGTTCTTCATACAAATTCTTGAATAGACCTGGTTTACATTAATTTATTGTGAACCACTATTATTAGGGACACTATGGCCGCTATATTAATTATATAAAAAAAAAGTTTTGATGTTAAAATAAAGGTTATTATGCTAAAATAAAAGTCATTATATTAAGATAACGATCATAAGAGGTTAATTTTTTTGAAATGAATGTGTTTTAGGTCAATATGAATAATAAATGTCACTATATTAAAATTAAGGTCACTATGTTTAACATAGCATCGGTTGTTGTATATGTACTTCATCTTCACAACAATATTAAAGGTCACACGAGTTTAAATAAAGGTCATTATGCTAAAATTAGGGCACTATGTTAAATACAACGTTATTTGCGCGCGTATAGGTTCAAAATAATATTATTGTGAACCAGGTCCACACAAGGTTTTTCCTGTTCTTCAAACAATTGACAACACAATTACATTTCTTACTTAGAAGTAGACAGATAATCACGTCTTGGATAAATATCGACAAATTAACACTTTCCTTGCACAATTATCGAAAAATAATAAGTCTTGTATAAGGCGGGTGTACGTTAATTTTATTGTAAGACGGTCAATATTAGGGTAACTTTAATCCCTTAAAGGGTAACTTTTAATTTGTCGTTGATTTGAATTTTATTTTAATGTATAATTTCTTATAGATTCATGATTACATACTATAAAGGCTAATATAATTAATCTAATACATTATAAGTATTTTGTAAGATGAAATTTATTATTTTAAAAATAATAACTTTGTAGCATAAAGGGTAACTTTATTTTTATGATAACTTTAACCTATTTTACATTAAATTAACGTACATCCGCCTTTTTGAAGAATTAATATATGTACGCATGACTTACATATCGACAATATCAAATTATTATACTTATTTAAGCGTTATACTTTAACTTAATACCAGAGAAGGGGACAATAGAGGATAGTTGTTCCCCCTCTTTCCTTTTTTCTTTTTCTTTTTCTTTTTTTTTTTCAAAATCAAGTTTTAATTAAAAAAAACAAAAACAAATTTTTGTATTCAAACTTAATTTTTTATTTTTGATTGTTTAAATCCAATGTTGGGTTTGCTAGCTTGTTAAGTAAGTTAAATTGTTTGATAATTTTGTATGTATGACATGTTAATTATATTATAATTAATTGATTCATAATTTTCAGTTTAGTTAGGACATGTAAAATAATTCACCTAATTCAAATAAGTCCTAAACAACAAAACAACCTGATTTTTTGCAATTCATGTTTAGCTCCCCCTAAACTCAAGAAAATAATGTGAAAATAGGTGGTTCTAGTACTAGTAATGTACCACAGGGAGAGCAAGAATGGGTACATACGATGTTAAACTTTTCATCATGATCTAGCGAAAAGAATGAACATAAACAGAATGAACATAAAAGGTTATCCTCCAAACCAGAAACTTAAGAAAACTTTATGTTATTTTTTTTCATCTTTTTTTAATTGTATGACAAAATATATATTTTTTGGGTTTTTGAATTGTAAAATTTTAACTATTAAACTATTTATGTGTTTAATTTTTCTTTTTAAATATTTTTGTCAAATTGCGCGATGTTTAGTTGTTGACTTGTTGTCCCCTCGATTCGGAATTTCTAGCTCCGCCATGCATTGCCAAATACACATGTTGAGACACAACTTTGACTATTATTATATTTAATTATATGTCAGTAAAACTATAAGAAATTGATATTATGAAAGTATACATTATGACAAATCCAACAATATATTATTGTTTATTGTATATTAATAAAATAATCAAGTCAAAATCATTATGTGAATAGTGAAAAAGTCAAAGTGTAACACTTAAAAAAAACGGAGAAAGTACTTGTATATTATCACAGTCAAAATGAACGAATAAATCTTATGTGATTTAGATTCTTTTTGGATAAAGAAATCTTTCATATGCAAAGATATATAAATAATTAAAGTAAAAGCTTAAAAAATTTTCTTTATTTTTTTTTCTAGTTGTAGTGTGTACCTCTAAATTCTCAATAATATAATCACTTTTTCATAATAATAACAACAACAACAACAATAATAATAATAATAATAATAATAATAATAATTTTTGTGTATTAAGAGTCACAAAACAATAATATCCACTTGGGCCCTATTCTTTTCATCTTATTTAAATAAGGTATAGTAAAAATAATTTAAGTTCCATAAAAAATAATTTTAGTTTAGTAAAAGAAAGTTAAGTTTAGCAAATTAAAAATAAGTTTTAAAAGTAAAAATAAATTTTTTTAACAAAATATAATAAAGAATTAGTAAAAATAAATTAAGTTCAGCAAACAAAATTAATTTTAGAAAAAAAATAATTCAATTGAGCAAAAAACAATTTCAATTTAGCAAATTAGGGTGAAAGCAATATAATTATTCCCTGAATATTCATGAAAAAAACTATACCAACTAAAAAGTTCAACTATCATATAATAATAAAATGAAAATAAAGAAATTGTCCTAACACTTTGCCTACTAGACTAGTTACATATGTTAAGGAGTTTAATAGTTGTCATTAATAGTTATTTATTTCTTATAATAGGGGGGGGGGGGGGGTTTGGGGTGGGGGTGAGGGAAGCGTAATTTGTAAATTTAAAAATATTTACAATTCAATGTAACCAACTGATAAATAAGATAAATCCTTCAGGATGGTATCAAACCATAGAAAAATTAAGGTCTTATATATGAACCATCTTAGTTTGATTTCCCTCTAGTATTTTCAAGTTTGATGTATCAAGCGTTACCAAAAAGGAAAAAAAAAGGTACCTATTTTTCTTTAAAAGGATTTCAAGACAAAAAAGGGTTTCACTCATATAAATATTAAAATTAAATATATACTAATCTATTAAAAGGTGTTTATTGAAACGTTTATGTGCCACGTAGACCCCTTTTTCATTACACCATGTCACTTATTCAACCTCTCA